TTCCCAACAGTCTCCACCCCCTTGTGTCCATGTCTTTTTGTGTGTGTATGACTCACCGAGTTAATTAGAGGTGTGACAAGACAGATATGCAAAGCAGTAGAATTAGTGTAAAGAAGGATCTGACTGTTAAACAGTTTAATAAAAACATTAAAATTAATGCTCAGTGTTAGGGACAGGGAGGAATAAAGTATGGTTGTTGGGAAAGTAAACGGAAGACGATCTCTTTTTATTATTTGTGTGGTGTGTGTGTGCGTGCACACATGCTTGTAATGGTTGTTGGATTCCCTGGAGTTGAGATTACAGATTTGAGCCACCTAGTATGGGTGCTGAAAGTGCTCTTAACCGCTGGACCTTCTATACCCTTAATAAAAGAGTATCTAAATTCATGCTGTCTGTGGAATGATTAAAGTTAATAGCTTAAATAAAATTAATATATGTAGTGTTGGGGCTGGAGAGATGGCTCAGAGGTTAAGAGCATTGCCTGCTCTTCCAAAGGTCCTGAGTTCAATTCCCAGCAACCACATGGTGGCTCACAACCATCTGTAATGAGGTCTAATGCCCTCTTTTGGCCTGCAGACATACACACAGACAGAATATTGTATACATAATAAATAAATATTTTTAAAAGAAAAAATATATATAGTGTCATGGAAGCAGCAACGTGTATGTCTGTGTGTGTGTGTGTGTGTGTGTTTCAAAAAAAAAGATCCCACCTTGTAGGAGGTACAGCTGAGTGATCATATGTTCAAAGGTTCAAATACCCCGTTTCAGTCAGTATATCAGTTGCTAGTACTTAATACTCTTAAGTTTTTGTTTGTTGTTTGATTGCTTTTACAGGCATGGTTTTATGTAGCCCAGGCCAAACATGAACTCAGTATGTAGTTGAGAATGGCCTTGAACACTTGACTTCTAGCTTCTACCTCCCAAATTCTGAGATTATAGGTTTGCACTGTTGTGTTCAGCTAAAACTTGAATTTTTATAAGACTTCTGCAAATTTTTATGTCATGCATATATTATGTGTATGATTTAATATATATAGTGATTGACAGTAATCTTATATATAATGTTTTAATCTACTTTTATCATTAATGCAATATTAGCATTATAGTCTTTAATGTGCAGTTTTTGTTTTAAGTACTTAAAATTTTGTAAAATAATGTACATTTTAAAGTAAGTTATAAATGCTCTAAGGGTTTCATCTACAGGTGATGGTATGCATGGTTTTAACTCCAGCTCTTGGGAGGCAGGACAGATGGATCTCTGAGTTTGAGGTTAGCCTGGTCTACAGAGTGAGTTCCAGGACAGCCAGGGTTACACTGAAACTCTGTCTCAAACAAACAAACAAAAAAGAGGGTTTAACTTAACCCTATTTTTAACATGTGCAAATTTATTTTGTCAGCATTTTATTTGGTAATACATAGATGTATAAAGTAGTTTCTGTTCTTGGCTGATGTGAGATTCCCCTCTTTATGCTATGAATGTGTTTTATTACCATTGGTTAATAAAGAAAGCTGATTGGGCCAGTGGCTTATCAGAGTAAAACCAGGTGAGAAACCTGAACAGAGGTATAGAGAGTAGGGAAACTCAAAAGAGCTGTCATGTAGCTGCCGAAGAAGAAAGACATTACTGGTAGGCCACAGCCTCGTGGCTGTACATAGAATAATAGAAATGGGTTAATTTAAGATGTAAGAGTTAACCAGGAATATGCCTAAGTTATTGGCCAAGCACTATTGTTATTAATATAGTTTCTGTGTGATTATTTGGGTCTGGGCGGCCAGAAACGAATGAGCAGTCTCCGTATACAAAATGGTGTGCCAAAGTGGGGCCACGATTTCTACATAAAAACTGAGAGAGCTTGGGAAGGAATTCTAGACACAAAAGAACAGAGTTAAGCACAGCTTCTTGGTAGCCATTTTTTTCTTCAAGATAGGCTATGTTTGCTCTCAGCGAGCAGTGGTGCTGTTCCTCTAAGAGAAGGCTTCCTGACTTAGCATTAGCAGTAAAAACTGCACAGCTTCCTGGTTGTGCTGGTAGCATGAACTCTGGCTCTTTCATGAGGTCCTGCACTTAAATGGGGTTTATGAGCAGAATGCTACGACTCACTTAATGGCAACATAGACTGCCTGTGTCCCTAAAGCTGGGGCAGTGAGCATGCCTCTGCCACGTTGAACTGGACAGAGCAAACAGGCAGGGCCGTGGAGTTGATCCTAGCCACACCAGCTTAGCATTTAAAAAAGAAGCAGCAGTACTCCTGATCAGAACATGATTACAGATACACAATAAAGACAGATTCAGACAGAAATAAACCTCTGAATGGATTATAGTGTGTTTAAAAAGATGTATATAGACTTGGAAGAGAGGGGGTTATAAAAAGAAGTAAATGCTTTTAAAAAAATAAAAAGTTTAAAGAGGCAGAATACCGACAGTTATAGATTAAAGAAGTAGAGAAAATTAAGCCATGTAAAGATAGAATATACACAGAAAGTCTGGATTATGTTTATTATTGTGTTTGAATTTTTTGACTGCAGAGACATTTAATTCTGGGGGCTGCTAAACTAAACCAACATATATATTTTAGAGGTATCTTGACTTCGAATTTTGACTATAAGGATGTGTTGCTTTGGAAAAGAGGTTCTGCTTTTGTTCCACAGAAGATGAGAGCCTGTGGGTTTCTTCCAGGATAATGTGGTTTGATGAAACAAGATCCCCAAAAAGTCTCTGTGAAACCTAAAAATACTTGACCCAACGAACACCAGGAAGCAGTTTGGAGAAAACTATGCCCAAATTCCCAAAATGATTATTTATAAATGTTTGTTTTCATTTAAAGGGGGATATGATATAGAGATATATGCCTTGCATTGGTATGAATCTTGGTCTATTGATAAAAATTTAAGGTTGATTTTGTTACACTGTGTATATGTATTTCTGCTCTTACTTAAGGTATTATGTTTATACAGCTCATTTAAAATGTAATGTATAATTAAAAATATGGATTAATAATCATCTATAATAGTTAACTTGTAGTCACGTTAATTAGGTTTTCTTGCTATACAGAGATATATTTCAGCATTTCAAAGACCTACACAGTATGGCATTTAAAATGTTTTAAGAACTTAGACTTTTCTTGACAGTGAGACATGTCTGCTTCTGACACTGCCAATTACTTCAAGGGGATGATGGGTATCGAAGAGACCCCCTTATGGAGTTTGCTAGCCATTTGGGCAAGAAACTGTTCTTGCCTAGACTGTTTGATGGTATGCTGTATGAACTGGATATGCAGGACCCACAGAAAAGTGACTGCTGAACTTTTCAAAAGATAGGATGGTCCTTCAGGGTTCCTGCTTCACAGAAGAAACTGCCAGACATTCTGCAGGACACAGAAGAAAGCAACTGTTGAAATTTGCCTTTACAAGGCAGAACAGATCTTCAAATTTCCTGCTTCATGGAGAAGTTCACGGATACTATAGACTTGTAGGAATATGAATGCCCCAATGTTACAGAACTTTGGGTGACTATCCAGACAACGAAATGTCTCTGTCAATTCTAGAGTTTTGAAAGTTGTTTACAATGCACTTCCTGTTTACTTAGGTAATATTATATCCTTCTGGGTCTTTGAAGAGTTGAAGACAAATAGTTACAGTTTTCCTTAGTTATGATAAAAGCTATGAAACTTTAGACTCATAAAAATAGGATAGATGATAGAGTATTTTCCTTAATTTACCAAATATAAGTGAACTAAATATTGTAACTATAATTCTTGCTTGATAACTGTTTTGTATATGTAATTTTATTTTGTTAAAGTTAAAACCTTCCTTTTTATTTATACAGAAGATGGGAGATGATGTGGGATGTCCTTCAGTATATGTGTTGCTTTTATTGGTTGATCAATAAAGCTGCTTGGACTTATAGCAGAGAAGAATATAGCCAGGCTGGAAGAGATATTTAGAGTGAGTAGATGTAGTCAGGAGATGCCCTATAGCTTCCAAAGGAGAAAGATGCCTTCTGGTATGTCACAGCTTTGTGATAATATGTAGATTGATAAAAATTGGTTATTCTAAGATTCAAGAGCTAGCTAGAAATACACCTTAGATACTGGCCAAGCAGTGTTGTAATTAATATAGTTTTTGTGTGATTATTCGGGTCTGGGCAACCAGGAAATGAACAAGCAGTCTCTAGTTACACTTGCCTAATCCAATGGAAGTAAGGCATGAAATAAAGCAATAAATACTTTGTGGATACATAATCTGAGAATCTATTAGTCTACTATTTGGATTTATTCTAAGGAAATAAGCGGCAAGTGTATAGTGACATATAAGTATTGATATTCTGTTCATAATACTGGAAATGTAACCTCAGAAACTACTGTAAACTCAAGTAAACAGAATACTATATAGTGATTTAAATTAATAATTAGCTCTACAGTTACTGACTGTAAGTTATGGACTGTAAGGTCCATAGTCCATTGAAAGGGGAAGGAAACAAGTTCAAAGCACTCTGTATCCTAGTCTGTCTATTGATGGCAAGATTACAATCATCAGAGAAAATATGCTTTGTAGATTTGCTCAGGCGACATGTGGAAGAGGACTTGCAGATTACTATTTCCCAGCCTTCGGGGACTCACATTCTTTTTCTCTGTCTTTAGTTTGCATCAAATATGATTTAAAGTGATTTTCACATAAGTAATATTTTTGCTAGTATAACAGTTAATCTTGTGATTTTTTTTTTATGTATACCACAGGTTCATTTTGGAACTATAGCAAGTTTACTTCCTAATCACTAGACTGTTTTGATGGCATAAAATTTTAGTCACTTGTGTCACTGTGGCCATTGATCACATAGACTTTTGTTCTGTTCTTATACCCTGAGTTTCTGGACTTGATTTTATGAAACTAATGGACAAAGTTCTTTTGTGAAAATTAACTTGTAAAAATTATCACATCATACATATTAAGTTAATAATTATTATTAACCATATTTAAGAATGCTGTCACTCATTGCTTTTAAAATGTGTGTTTTATTCTCACTTAGGCCGAATACACCAAGCAATGGTAACATCTTTAAATGAAGATAATGAAAGTGTAACAGTTGAGTGGATAGAAAATGGAGACACAAAGGGCAAGGAGGTACGGTTTCTGGGCTAATCATCATTTCTAGTCAAGATTGTGAATACAAAATGAAACTGAAAATCATATAATTTTATATGATGTGGATATTCTGTATAATTCCTTTAAGAACTTTCAAATAGTGGCTGCAGAGATGATTCAGTGATTTAAGATAAATGGCTGCTTTTCCAGGGGACTCTGGTTCAATTTCCCACCCCAGCATAGTTGTTCACATGTAATAGTCCCATAGGATCCGGCACTTTTCTGGTTTCCGGGGGCACCAAACATGCACACAGTACACAGATATTCATGCCAGTAAAACCCCTATACACATGAAGAAAATCCTCACTTTCCAGTGAGTTTTAAGTTAACCCAAAGGAGAGTCTCTCCTTGTATCACCTGTTCTTTAGCTCAGTGCACAAGATTTGACAATTGCTATATGTAAGTAATAATTCTATAATTTTGATGGCCACTTTTTACCAACATTATTAAAAACAAGTATAAAGTATATGTAGGTTATTATTCTGAGCACTGTAATTTGCAAAGTGGTGTCGTGTCATCTTTAGGTTGAAGTCATTTAAGAATCATCTGCTCTATAACTCTCATGTTCTTGTTTACACAGATTGATCTGGAAAGCATCTTTTCGCTTAACCCTGATCTTGTACCCGATGAAGAGATTGAACCCAGTCCGGAAATACCTCCACCATCATCATCCTCAAAAGTGAACAAAATTGTAAAGGTAAGTGATAAATGTGTGTGTGTGTGTGTGTGTGTGTGTGTGTGTGTGTGTGTGTGTGGTGCTTGTGCACGCATACATGGGCTCTTGCTCTCACTGACTTGAGACTGGTAGACTTTGAAGAGTATGTATGTATTAAGTATTGTTTGGTTTACATCTTTAAAAAATTCTTTCTACCTTCTGTATCCATGTTATACATTTATGCCTTCCTGAGTTAGGGTTGTCTAGTTCACAATTCATAACAGTCTTTAGATCGTATCATAATTCCTTACCTAATTAGGATTTTTGGAGGACTAATAGCTTCTCAGGAGAGTTAAGTTAAAGTTGCTTTTTTGTCAGTGTTGAATGAACACTTACTAACTGACAAAATGCCTGTTTGTTAAGAATAATAACTATTCTGGTACTCTGAAGTGGTGGGAAGTGGTAAGGGTATTGTAACTAGGGTGTTGTTAGTAAAAAGGTGTTGCAAGGGCAGTGCTGCCGCCTCCATGTACCGTAATTCTGCAAAAATGAAAAATCCTTTAAAAGTAGCTCTTCTTCCATGCTCTTGAAATTCTTTACTATTAGTAAATTCCATGAAAATACAATGCCTTTCAAATCAGACAGTCCTGCTATGTTGTTGAACCTCTAACTTCTTAGTGTTTGGTTCAGTGACATCTGTTGATTTTTTTCTACTTTGTCCAGGTACTGTGTTAATTCACAGATGAATATGACATGACTTTGAAGCCTATAGGAACTCCATATTTTGCAAGGAAAACATTTATAAACATGCAAATGTATTGTAGAGACTTAACCATCCTTAAAATATTCTGCTTTTAAACTACATATATGAACATAAATCAGTTTGAGTTCATATAATTTAAGCATAGCGAGAGTCACTGCTTAAAGGTCCTTAATATAGATGGACTGTTTCCATATACATCTTCAATGCCTTAATAGACTGGCATATTTTTATCTACCCTTCCCATTCCCATGTTGAAATCAAGCCCAGTTTTTCTCCTTTGCCTTGGCATTCTACCACTGAGCTCCATACACCTTGACCTTGATGTGTTGATAACTGTTGCTTCCCATTAAAATCACTTGATGCATTTTTAAAAGTACTGATTTCCGGGCCCCCACTTTGGGAGATAATACCACTATCCAACTACTACCTAATCTGATTGGAATGTGCAGCCAGGATTGAATATAACTAAATCATTTTCTGTGGGTTTATTTTCAAGTAAATTCACTCTAGTAGCTATATAAATGGGATCAGAAGTTGGTTGCCTTAATCTATGCTGTAGCCAAACCTTTCAAACCTGTAGTGAAACCTTTTTAGGGTAACTGGCTGTTTTTGTTTCATAGTACTTTGATATTTCAGTTTACTAAAGGAGTCAGTACTGTATTACCTCTTTAGATCCAAAGATTACTACTAATTCCTCAATCCAAGATCAAAATTACTCCAAAGTTCAGTGCTTTAACATTTTTATTTATTAATATTTTATTCTTGTTTGTGTGTGATAGTAGGTGTGTGCATGCCATGCTATTCATGTGGAGATCAGAGGACAGCTTTCAGGAGTTGGTTCTCACCTGCCCCCCTCCCACCCCCTTGTTGAACTGGGGTTTTTTGTCTCTGCAGTACTGTGTACTCCAGGCCTCTGTCTTGCTGCAGGAGTGTTGGGAATACAGGAGCACACAATAACACCTGGCTATTTGGGGAGGGGTGACCTATGGTCTAGTCAGGGTAGACTTGGGAAGCAAGTGACTTTACCCACTGAACCATCTTGCCTCCCTCCAAATGCAATTTTTTTTGTTTGTTTGTTTGAGAACAAAACATCAGACCACATGAGAGAAATTACACCTAAACCTTATGTGAAGAGTTTCAGTCTGGATGAAGCTACGCCAAAAGTATTGTATAAAATTATCTTCACTGAGGCTTGCTCCACAGTCAGGAGGATTCGAATCTACCTAACTAGCACATGTGTAACTAAAAAAGCAGATGTGACTGGTGCTCTACACACCTGTAACCACAGCTCTGTGGGGTAGAGACTGAAGGATTGCTGGGGCCTTGCTGGCTGTCATCCCAGTTCCAGGTTCAGTGAGTAACCCTATTTCATGGGAATAAGGTGGAACATGACAGCAGGTACCAGATGTCATCCACTGAGTTTCACATATCTGATTTTACACACATGAGTGCACATATACAAATATTCTAAGACACGAAAAAAACAAAACATTTCTGGACTCAGGCTTTTCAGATAATAGATACCCAACCTGCACACAATTTTAGCAAGATAGCATTATAATGTAGTTACTTAGCCTCATTTTACTTCAGATCTCATGAAATGGAAGTAAACATAAAATGCTTTCTGAGATCTGCTGTAATTGTAATAGATTAATAATGGAAATAGTCAAACCTGAGCATCAAAGGGCCTTCCAGTCTGCTTTGATGTATGATCTCCATAGTTCTGAGAGTAAACTACAAACTTTTTTCCCTTCTCCCACCCCCTCCCTTTTCTATTTCTCCCTTCCCTCTGTGTTGATGTGTTCCTTTCTGAGTAATAATGAAAACATTATTGCTGAATGTCATTCTTAAAACTGAACTTTGAAAGCGTAAAGATTCTATACTTTACCTGAGCTCAGAATTAAGAAAATAATGACTCCACAGAATTGTATAAAACTGAAATGAATAAGGTCCTTAGAGCAAGTTATCTTTGAGAACTTACCTTTCTCATTCCTGAATATATGGGGGATTTTGATACATGCCTCCTACAGGAACTTGACTATTGATAAATTAGAAAGTTGTTTGATTATTTATAGTTTTTCTACATTTGATTTTATGTTACTCTTGTCTGTCTGTTTAATTAAATGAAGCTGGGACACTGATTGCTGTGAGGAATGAAGAGAAATTAATATTATTTTCTTTTTTAGAACCGACGAACTGTGGCATCTATTAAGAATGACCCTCCCCCAAGAGATAATAGAGGTGAAGTAAAACGCTATCCTTTAATCTTGCCTACTGACATTTAGCATGGTCTTGATGAGATATAGCAAAAGTAAATGTTACCCTTAATGTTTTGTTTAACCATACATGGTTAATTTTAAGATTAGTATTCCTAGTTTCTTAATATCCCAATTGCATTAATAATTTCTCTTTAGTTTAAAAAATAGGAAATAGTCATGGTGAGACATGCCTGTAAATTGAGTACTTGGGAGGAGAAGTAGGAAGATCCCTGCAAGTTGGAAGCCAATCTACTCTATATAGGGAATTCTAAGCCAGCAGGGCTACAAAGCAAAACTCTTAAGTAAGACAAAACAAAAAAATTCAGAAATGGCCAGACGGTGGTGACGCACGCCTTTAATCCCAGCACTCGGGAGGCAGAGGTGGGCGGATCTTTGTGAGTTCAAGGCCAGCCTGGTCTACAAGAGCTAGTTCCAGGACAGGCTCCAAAAGCTACAGAGAAACCCTGTCTCGAAAAACCCAAAAAAAAGAAATCAGAAAAGTATGTGGTAAATAGAAACTCCATAAAAGATGTAGTTTTGTCCATCTCACTCAGTTTCCAACATTTGAGGAGGACATTAGAGAAAGAAGAAATGAGGAAGGGGTCCAATGGATGATGGTGTCACACGGATGGATTTCATTATCATTGGTTTGGTCATAATTTTCTGACTAAGAGGCTTCCAAAAAGTTTAAAGGTTAACTTTAGAGTTGGGAAGAGAAAATTTGAATGGACATAAATTACAGTTGGCTTCAAGTTTTATACATTCTGATCCAGGACACAGAGACAAAAGTAACTTGTTTCTGCTGCTCAGCAGTTCAGAACTACTGTACAGTTGTATGTCTCTGTGAGCATGGATGTAGTACAAGATGGGCCAGAGAGGAAATTAGAAGTAGAGAGGAGACAGTCTTTTCCTTACCACCTTCCAAATTTTTGGAGACCTTGTATTTTTGGTAAATTTTCTGAGCCTATATGCGTGGGTGCGTGCGTGTGTGGGTGTTTGAAACAGGGTCTCTGTAGCCCAGGTTTGTCTTGAATGTGATAGGCACTCAAGAATGATCTTGAGCTCCTGATCTTCTTGATTCCCTCCAGTGCTGGCATTACACATATATCACCACATCTAGCTTTCTGTTTGTATTTAATTTTAAGTTCCTTTTTGCATTTTTATGACATCTACAATGGGGAACTACTCTACTGAAGATTTGCATGTTGGGGAGCAAAAAATGAAATCCGGAATGTAAGAAAGGTTGGAAGGACTTTTACATTTGTTTTCTATGTGTTTGAATCATGTACATTTTCTTAAAAATGAGAATGCCTTTATACTGCACATATAATATATGATATAATTTATATATTATTTATATGTAATGAACATATACTCTGGGAAATACCTGTGCATTCTGGAATTTTAAGACGTGAGTTTCATGTGCATTTTTCAAAATGATTATTAGGACTGGAGAGATGGCTCGGCCGTTAAAGGCTAGGCTCACAACCAAAAATATAAGAGTTCGGTTCCCAGCACCCACGGTTGCCTCTCCAGCTACCATTAAAAAAAAAAAAAAGATTATTAAAAGTCAGTTTAGATTTGGTTTTTAGGTGACTAGTTTTATAGCTAAAATCACACTGGTGGATGTTAAATCTGTACCTTTTTGACTCTGTTTCCCCATTATTTGTAACTTGCTATAGAAGCCATACTGGTTTCACACTCATATCTGCCTGCCTTCCTCTTTCCTGATGTAACTATTACTTTGAAAATATACACTTTTATTTTATAAAAATATAAAAAATATGTCTTTTAGTTGTGTCGATTTACTAAATAGAGTTGCTTGCTTTTACTAGTTTATACACTATTTCTTGAAAAGTTTGGCAGTTTGTTAAATTTAAATTACTGATTTTGGTATTTCAAGACAGGGTTTCTTTATGTAACATCCTTATTGTCCTAGAACTCACTCTATAGGCCAGGCTGGCCTCAAACTCACAGAGATCCACCTGTCTTTGCCTCATGAGTGCTGGGATTAAAGGCATACACCACCACCCCATCACTCAGTATTTATCCACTTTTGAGGCATGGTCTTACTGTTACCCAGGCTTGCCTCAAATATGTATTGATTGTCCTGCCTCGACCTACCAAGTGCTGGGCTTATAGATTATGAGCTATTGTGCCTGTCATGAGTTCAACATTTATGTATCACATTTGACACGGCGATGTTTATTCCTTTTACTGTGGTTAGCTTTTAATATTGTTCTGAATTAAATTTGTTTTGTAGTGGTTGGTTCAGCACGCGCACGGCCTAGTCAGCTTCCCGAACAGTCGTCTTCTGCACAACAGAATGGTAGTGTTTCAGATATATCTCCAGTTCAAGCTGCAAAAAAGGAATTTGGACCTCCTTGTATGTAAATAACGTATCAAGGATTCAGTCATTTTAGGCGTACATGTAGTCTCTCTTGGTCATCATTACAAGTTCTTAAGTAGTGAGCAATCTAAGACAAACTTGGCTAAAGATTTCCTTTTGCTAACCAATTATAATTTGTATTTAGTACTTTAGTCTGTTAATTGGGAGTGTATATATATACCGGAGAATAGCATTTTGTTTGAGGTTATAACAATGGCTCAATTGCTTTGAATTAGTTACACTTATTGATCCTTTTAATTTAAAGGCCTGTAATTCTAAACCAAGAGATGACATGTATCAGTGTGTCTGAGTCATTTCTCTTGACTCATCTGTATAGTGTCCTGTTCCTACTATTAAAGCAGCTCATAAGTCAAGTTCACCTAGGTATAATTGGCATGCTTCATTACTGTGGACTTGTGTGTGTGTATGTGTGTGCTGAATTAGTCATAAAATTTCTGTAAAGTTTTTCTATATAAAAGAAAAACAAAACTTTTTTCAGTTTATCCTTTTCCTTTTAGCACGTAGAAAATCTAATTGTGTCAAAGAAGTAGAAAAATTGCAAGAAAAACGAGAGAAAAGGAGATTACAACAGCAAGAACTTAGAGAAAAAAGAGCCCAGGTTTGTAACATAAACTCAAATGTTTGTTTGTTTGTTTGTTTCAGAGAAAGGGATAGATTATATCAGTGAAAATAGCTAATTTTAAAATAAGGTTCAGGAAACCAGTCTGGACTACCCAAGCCTCTGACTCCAGGGAAGCAGAAGGAATACACAGATTGCATTTGCATTTATTTACTCATGCTTGCCAGACATGCCTCCTGGTGTCCCTGGGTGTCCTTGATGATACTGAACTGTCCTGGGGAGCTCTTAATTCTTGTTTCACATTCTGCTTCTGAGCTGACAAGTTGATTTTTTTTTTTTAAAGGTAAGTAGAAGATAAATTTCAGTGACCGTTTTAAAATCTGTTCTTCAGTATAGTCTGAAAATGAATGGAAAAATATTGAGTATTAGTGATTTATTATTCATTACAGGGAGGCTATTAACCATTGCTAGTCATAATTTAAACAAAACTTTGTCAATATTGAATTTGAAATAAATTTTTGTCAGAATTCAATACTTTGAATTTTTTTAACTTTTTAAATATCTTGGTTTTGGGCTGCTTGTAATGGCATATCTGTTATCACCTGGGAGATAGAGGCAGGAGGACAAGAGCTAAAGATCAGCTACAAGAAACGCTGACTCCAAACAACAAAAAAGCAAACAAATTATCTTTCTTTGTGTTTTAAGTTTTGTTGTATTGCTTTTTATTTTTAACATCTTGGTTATTTTAGAGTTAACAAAGAGGAGAGATGAGTAGAAATGAATCCATATTTTAATTTAAGGCTCTATTTAAAAATAGGACAGATATTTGTAACTAAACAGCATGCTTACACCTGCAGACCAGATTTTTCAAAGAATCCTTAAATGTTTTGACAGTAGAACTGGCATAAGCAGAGAAAAATAAAGAGTAGTGCTTTGAGAAGAGCAGTTACGATGGACAGGGAGGTAAAGAAGGAGCCTCGTGTGTGTGACTGCAAGAACAACACCCTCATGATGACTTGTGCAAAGTTGATATTTAATATTGAAACACTAGATGAAGTAGTTCTGAGTTGGGATGTGGAATGCATTTTCCCAGTTTCAACCTTCCTAGAGTTCTTTGCCAGTGTTCTAGAGTGCTGTTCCCCTTGATATATTTTCTGACATAGTTAGAGCAAATGTGTTATAAGTGATTTTTTTTAAAAGTAATTAAAGGATAGTTTTAATGAGGAAACTTTGGAGTGCACAGGATACATGCAAATTAACAGAATCATTTATGTGAAAGTACCATAGTTAGAAATTACATCATAGTTTTACTTTGGGTTTGGTTAACAGATGACAGTGCCTGAACTGCAGTTTCTAAACTATATGCAGCACATACAGTGTAATTAAGTATAATAGGTACCAAATCTTGTTTCCTAATAGGATGTTGATGCTACAAATCCAAATTATGAAATTATGTGTATGATCAGAGACTTCAGAGGAAGCTTGGATTACAGACCTCTAACAACAGCTGATCCTGTAAGATCCTTTGTTAATTATTACTCTGGAGATGTGATATTATAAATAAAAATATTCATACTGACTAATTGCATGTTGTATTTACCTGTATGGTTTTGTGTTTCCTGATGAGGGTCAATTCCCATGTTGTGCGATAAATCACAGCTCAGCTACTTTTTTGTTCACCCTCCATAGTTTTAATATTAGAGGTCCGGCACAGCTGCTCTTTGCAAGCGAAGCCTCCCTGTCTTCTGACGGCTTGTATCCGTTAGTGGATCGCATAAAGCGCCCTTCACAAAGGCTTTGATCTCAGTTCCAGACTTATTTTAACTTTGGTTTGGGCTGTATATTCCACCACCGTTCTAATTTACTGTAACTAATTTGTTCTTTGTAAGTGCGTGTTACTCTGGCTGTAGCAGTAATAATGGTTTTTAGGGGCTACAACAGACCAGAATTCCAGAGCTGAAAAGTATTCTGTAGTTTCATTACCTGCTGCAAAATGAAAAATAATACATCTGACCTAACATATTTAGAATGTTTGACTACCAAAAGTATTTGTGTTAGGAAGTATGTTAGAGGTCCAGATAAATGTCTTACTCATAAGCTTATATTCCCATATATTTTAGGCCTTGCTACACTGCCAGGCATTTCACCTGTTGCATCTGAGCTCATGTTTTAATTAAACCAGGCAAATTGGAGAACTCTAAAATAGGTCTGATCACAGAAAATGATTTATTCCAAGAAAGTATGTATTGAATATAAGCTTTATCTTTAAAATTGTATACAAAGATTTGTCGTTAATGGGCATATAGAGATGGCTCAGTGCTTAAAAGCCCATCTGTCCTTGGGACAGACCCAGTTTGGGTTCTCAAAGTTTTCAGCAACACATCAGGCCAATGAACCTATTCCTCCAGCCCTTATATGTGCATATAATTAAAAAAATTGTCATTCATAAAATTGTCCAGTTATTTTGTTAAGTAATGTGAGAATCCTGGTTTTTTGCCTGTTAATGATCTTCCAGCAGCTATCTACAATCAACATGAAAAGATGCCAATTTGTAGAATTGCAATTTTTACTTTTATTGTATATAACACATCTTGAAATGAGTGGAAGGTACTTTCTTTTTTCTTTTTTTTTTTTTTAATTGAGTTCTACATTTTTCTCTGCTCCTCTCCTTGCCTCCTGCCCTCCAACCCTCTCCCATGGTCCCCATGTTCCCAATTTACTCAGGAGATCTTGCCTTTTTCTACTTCCCATGTAGATTAGATCCATGTATGTCTCTCTTGGGTCTCATTGTTGTCTAGGTTCTCTGGGATTATGGTTTGTAGGCTGGCTTTCTTTGCTTTATGTTTAAAAACCACTTATGAGTGAGTACATGTGATAATTGTCTTTCTGGATCTCGGTTACCTCACTCAAAATGTTGTTTTCCAGCTCCATCCATTTGCCTGCAAATTTCAAAATGCCGTTATTTTTTTCTGCTGTGTAGTACTCCATTGTGTAAATGTAGCATATTTTCCTTATCCATTCTTGGGTCGAGGGACATTTACGTTGTTTTCAGGTTCTGGCTATGACGAACAAAGCTGCTGTGAACATAGTTGAGCACATGTCCTTATGGCACGATTGAGCATCCTTTGGATATATACCCAAAAGTGGTATTACTGGGTCTTGAGGAAGGTTGTTTCCTAATTTTCTGAGAAATTGCCATACTGATATCCAAAGGGGCTGTACCAGCTTGCACTCCCACCAGCAATGCAGGAGTGTTCCGTGGAAGGTACTTCTTAACAAGAACTTAATGTTAAGGATTGTGGTACTTTCTAAAAACCTTAATTACTAAGCAATGGCTTATCAAAAACCAAATAAGTTTTCACAAATCTCAGAATTTTAGTAGTAATTGTTTCTGACAACCATTAAAATTTATTAAATGCTAGTTTGTTTTTTAAAGCTTAACTGTTATATATATGTTAAGAAATTTCTAAAAACCATAGTTTACTTTCTATTGTTTTACATAGCACTTTATACCTAATGAAATAATGTGGTTTTTATTCCTAGATTGATGAACATAGGATATGTGTTTGTGTAAGAAAACGACCCCTCAATAAAAAAGGTATGATGCTTAATGAGCTTTGTAGAGAGTAGAATTTAGAAATGACGCGTGGTAGTATAATTCCTGTAATCCCAACATTCAAGGGCCTGAAAAAGGAAGATTGAGATCCAGGGCAGCCTGGACTACGTTGTGAGAGTTTATCACAAAAAGAAGTATACTGAGATGGTTTAGTAAAGGTGTCTATTGCCAATCCTAATGACTTGAGTTTGATCCCTGGGATGTACATGGCGGAGGGAGAGAACTGGCTCCTTGAATTTTCCTCTGACTTGACATTCATACCATGCCCTAGTGTGTGCATACGTTCTCACACACACAATATTAAAATCATTTTTTTAAAGATTTCAAATCTTTTTTAAAATTTTTTTCATTAGATCAAATGTTGTGAAAATTACTGAACATTGATTTTTCGTTTATTCTTTTAGAAACCCAAATGAAAGATCTTGACGTAATCACAATCCCTAGTAAAGATGTTGTGATGGTACATGAGCCCAAACAAAAAGTAGACTTAACAAGGTACTTAGAAAATCAAACGTTTCGTTTTGATTATGCCTTTGATGACTCAGCTCCTAATGAAATGGTTTACAGGTGAGTGAATTTGTTTTAAATTAAAATTCTCTTCTTAGACTCTTGGAAGTTCCTTGATGACTTATTGTTGTTATTCATACAGCTCTCTAGGGGAAACTGAAAAAAATGTAATAAACTCAATGAGTTTTATCATGTAATCTCTTTAAAACCTCAAACAGTTATGTGTTTTGGTTTGGTTTTTGGGTTTGATTTGGTTTTTTTCCTGGGCATGGTGGTACTTGGGGTGGAGGCAGGAGGCTATCTGTGAGTTAGAGGACAGCCTGGTTTACATAGTGAGCTCCAGGACTACATAGAGAGAGCCTGTCTCAAAAAAAACAAAAACCAAAAATTTGCTTTTTATGCTAGTTGATAGCTAGCTTACACATATCCTAGACACATGTATGGGTAAGTTTCTGAGAAGGGTTGGAGAGATGGTTCAGCCTCGAGAACACTACCTGCTCCTCTAGAAGACCTAGGTTCATTTTCCAGCATCCATATGGAGTCTCACAGCCATCTGTCTCAGGTTATCCGGCATATACCTCTGTCCTCCACAGGCACTAGGTTTTCTGTTTAACCCCTGTACTAATAAATTTCATATACCTGCTAGGGGACTGGAGAGATGGCCCAGAGGTTAAAAAAACTGACTGCTGTTCTGGAGGTCCTGAGTTCAATTCCCAGCAGCCACATGGTGACTCACACCCATCTATAATGAGATCTGGTGCCCAGAACACTATATACATAATAAATAAATTTTTTAAAAAATCTTAAAAAAAAAGAACTACCTGCTAGGCATTAATTACTAGTCTTGATCTTTCCTTAGCGTGTGTTTACAAATAAAAGTTTAAAAGTTCTATAAATCTACTTACATTCATTTTAATTTTTTTTTACCATCTTTTAAGGTTGATGGTTGTTTTAGTGCATACAATTTAGTTTACATTCAACTTTTATAGAATTCAAATTTACACATATTTTTACAAAATTTTTGTCATGTAGATTTTTGACATATTACTTTATAAACATATTTCTAATATTATATCAGACTTTTGCAGTATTGCCTTCATATTCCATGTAGACATACCTTTGCATTTATTTGCATGCTGTGTTTTATTTTCTCATTTTATAAAAATCTCCAGAAAACAGAAAGTTAGAGCAATAAGAATCTTACAAATTGAACATTGGAATATTACATAGATACGTTATGAAATATCTGTTTAAATGGGAATTGTAATAATAGCAGTAATTTCTTTTAGCTTTTTTCAAACAATTCTTTCTTCCCCTCCCATTTCATAATGTATAAATCTGATTTTTATGGTAGTTTTTAAGAACTTATTCAAGTATATCTATGGTAAGTTTAATAAACATTTTGAGCTTAAATCTATATTTATACTTTTAGGTTTGTTGTTGTTGTTGTTGTTGTTTTGTTTTCAAGACAGGATTTCTCTGTGTAATGGCTCTGATTCTCTTTGAACTCATTCTGTAGACCAGGCTGGCCTCAAACTCACCTGGCATATTTATACTTCTTAACTTCAGTAATACAGAACTCTTAATAAACTATTTTGCCTGTATGGACTAAGACATATTTTTTGAACTGGTAATTCTTCTGATTTATTATTCAAAGTTTCATTAGACTAGAACTTTTCCCTGCCCTTGTTATTCTATGCCTTCTTCAGTTGGCATTGAAAAATCTAGCAACAGTGTATGAAATGTTCTAATTAGTTTTGTTTTATTTTGGTTTTTTTTTTTTTTTAGGACAGGGTTTCTCTGTATAGCCCTGGCTGTCCTGGGACTAACTCTGTAGACCAGGCTGACCTCAAACTCACAAGAGATTTGCCTGCCTCTGCCCCCCATGTGCTTGGGTTAAAGGTGTGCACCACCACTGCTTGGCCTAATTGTTGGGTTTTTTTGCATACTATTTAATGTTGTTCTCAGTAAAAAAGTATTTCTTATCCCTTCCCACTTTTTGATTTTAATTATATCAGTGAATTTTATTAATATATTTGAAAAAGTAAAACAAGCCATACTTCTTTGCCATTTTTTAAGACTGTCAACTCAAAGTTCAGTGTCCTATAGTTAATTTACATCTTCTCCACATGTAAGCCAGTTTTGTTCCTGTCCAGCATTTGAAGCAAATTGGAAAGGTGACAAGGCTTGATCGGATAATAAGCTTATGAAGTAACAACACGAGAAAAGAATTATTATTTTGAGCTTTTGACCTTTCTCATCCTATGAAACAATGGACCTTTTTCAAGCTGATTGTGTTGTGTGTCAAGTGGGTTTTGTGTAAAGACCCAGCTCAGTGGTTAATCCAAGGACAAACTTCACTGCACTACCCAAATCCAATCTCCGACCCAGAAAAGCTTGGGTCACAGTTTGTTGGTCTGATGCTAACATGATCTACTACTGCTTTCTGGATCCTAGCAAAACCATGGCATCTGAGAAGCTGCTCAGGAAGCTGATGAGATGATACACCAAAGGCTGCACTGTCTGCACCTTGCAGAGGTCAAAGGGAAGGGTTTCCATTTCTTTTTTCTGACACGTTACTCAGGAACACTGAGTACTTAAACAAATTGAACTACAAAGTTTTACCTCATCCAGCATATTCACCTGACCTTTTACCAACAGCTACTACCTTTTCAAGCATCCTGACAAATTATTGGAAGGAAAAGACTTCCATAGCCAGCAGAATGCAGAAGTTTATATAATCCCCAAGCACAGATTAATGATGTCGGGATAGACATAACCCCAAAATGTGTTGATTATAATGGTTCCTACTTTTCTTGATTAAAAAAATGTTTGGATTTAAAATTCATGATCCAAAGCAACAGTTCTTTTTCACCAACTTACTATTTGAAATTTTGAAACTAAAGATTTGTTTAAACTCCTGCTGTACTTTGTTAATGAAATACAGTTTATATTACTTGTATTACTTTGGTTACTTGTTTAACTTCGATATCTGTGACATACTTATTTATTTTCCTTTTAAGGTTTACGGCTAGACCACTAGTAGAGACGATATTTGAAAGGGGAATGGCTACGTGCTTTGCTTATGGGCAAACTGGAAGTGGAAAAACTCATGTAAGTAATTGTTTAAGTTGTATCCTACTATGGTGTTATAGTCTCCCTCTTACACCTTAATTAAAAGGCTTAATTTCTTCTGGGTGTGTGCATGTGGAGGCCAGAGTACAACCTCAGCTGTCACTCTTTGGATGCCATCCTTTTTCTGAATAATCTCTATTATTATTTTTTTCCAAATGTAGACTATGGGTGGTGACTTTTCAGGAAAGAACCAGGATTGTTCTAAGGGAATTTATGCATTAGCAGGTAAGTGTCCTTTGTGTACACAATTGATGACATTCTTGAATATTATGCGGGTGTGTTTGAATAAGACTTTATTGTCCAGCTATATACACAGCATATTAGATCAACTGTGCGTTTTCAGAGTAGTTGAAAAGAAATGTGAGGTCATGGTCAGTCATGGTAAACTATATAGCAAGTTTAAGGCCAACCTTGGCTATTTGAGATCCTATCTCAAGAAAGAAAGAAAGAAAAGAAAGAAAGAAAGAAAGAAAGAAAGAAAGAAAGAAAGAAAGAAAGAAAGGTCATAAAAAGGTATAAGATTAAGCTCTTGGGGACAAAAAAAATCTTGATATATATTGGGTCATTGTAAATGTGGCAAACTATTAGATTACTATAAATTATGCAGTGGCTAATTGTTACTGGATTATACCCATACCTCCACCCCCAGGTTTTGAGATAGGGGCTCACCTCATGTACAGCAAGCTGACCACAGTCTTGCTGTGTAGCTGAAGATAGCCTTCAATTTCTGGTTCTCCTGTCTCTCACACCTAAATGCTGGATTGTAGGGTGTTGTATGCCTGGTCCATGCAGTGCTGTAGACTGAACCCTGGGCTTTGTGCATGCCAGTCAACCATTACCAGTTGAGCTACATGTTGAGCCCCTTTTAAGAATAAATAGTAACATCCTTTCATTGAATGTGAAAGACAATAGCTTCTTTTATAACTTTATTTTTCAAATTAATGTTTTAATTTTATTTTTATTGATACTAACCTAACATTAGCTAATTCTAAAAATAGGAAAGATTTGTTACATTTTAACGAACTTAATGTGTGAATTTTTTTTTTTTTGGAAGCTCGGGATGTCTTTTTAATGCTGAAGAAGCCAAACTATAAGAAACTAGAACTTCAAGTGTATGCAACATTTTTTGAAATTTATAGTGGAAAGGTATGTGAGAAATTTCATTTTTATTTTGTTTATGGGGGTGCTATGTGAGTGCATGTATATGAGTACATATGTGTAGGTGGGTGTCTGCATCTACACCATACATACATTTAGAGGCCAGCTGTCAGCCTCATGTGTTATTTCTTAGGAGCTATCCATCTTGTATTTTTGAGACAGACTTTCATTGTGACCTACAGGTGGTCGGTTAGTATAGGCTAGCTAGCCATCATGCCCCAGGGTCTCCACTTCCCCAATGCTGTGATTATTTGAGATCAAGCTCAGGTCCTTGAATTTGCTTGCCAATCACTTTACAACTGAATTTTCTTCCAATCCCCAGACTTTTTTTTTTTAAAGAAATGTGGTAAAATTGTGCATGTGTGTGTTTGTGTGTGATACAGTTGTCAATTTTTAAGTGTACAATTTCGTGGCATTCAATATATTTGCTTTGTTTTATGACCTCCACATCCACAAGATTTATATGCTTGTAAATATAGCAGTTGAAGTCTTTAGAATTTTAAACATCTTTTCAAACTTTCAGTGTTGAACATTGTTCTGGAAATAATAGTTTTATTTTTAGCTTCACTTTTTTAGATCTGATTTTTTTAAAGCTAGTCTCTAATTTGAATATGGTTTTCTGTAGGTATTTGACCTATTAAATAGGAAAACAAAATTAAGAGTACTAGAAGATGGAAAACAGCAGGTGCAAGTGGTAGGATTACAGGAACGGGAGGTCAAATGTGTGGAAGATGTACTGAAACTCATTGACATAGGCAACAGTTGCAGGTAAGTCTTAAAGGGATACTTCTGTTTCAGATCCTGTGTGTAGCATACTAGCAAAGGAAAGATTTTAAGTGAAAATATGTTGATTAACATATACATAAAAGTTTTGATGTATCAATGTGTTCTTAATCACATTACAGAACATCTGGTCAAACATCTGCAAATGCACATTCATCTCGGAGTCATGCAGTGTTTCAGATCATTCTTAGAAGGAAGGGAAAACTACATGGCAAATTTTCTCTCATTGATTTGGCTGGGAATGAAAGGGGAGCTGATACCTCAAGTGCAGACAGGCAAACAAGGCTTGAAGGTGCTGAAATTAATAAAAGCCTTTTAGCACTCAAGGTAGGTAAATGTATTTGTGAAAGTCTTAACTTTGACTTTAATTCTGCTTACTCAGTTGTAAAACTAGTAAAAGCAAAGGTTTACATACACAGTTGTTATATTTGAAGTTACAGGTTTTATCATACATTTTCTTGTTTTAAAACAAAGGAAATGAATTGATAGACCAATTCTGAGACTGCTTAGTTAGATTCTAAAGGATTATAATCATTCAGGCTTTCTTTAGGGGGCGTCAAACAACCATGGAAATGAGCTAAGAAATGTTTTGTTTTGTTGAGACTGCTTAGTTAGATTCTAAAGGACTATAATCATCCAGGCTTTCTTTAGGGGGTCAAACAACCATGAAAATGAACTAAGAAATGTTTTGTTTTGTTTTTTCTTGTCTGTGACTCCAGACAGTCTCCTCCCTGGGTCTGATGGAGAGTTCTTTCACCCTGCTGTTAACTTTAGCCTCACTAGCTTCTGTAGACCAGCTTTGCCCAGAACTCAAAAGAGATCCACTTGCCTCTACTTCCTGAGTGCTGGGATTAAAGGCAGGTGCCACCAGTGCCCAGCAGCTCTTAGCCTCTTAAAGCACCAAGGTGACCCTAAAGGGACAGGAGAGGGTGGAAATCATGTCTTACAAATACAGAATAGCATTGGGGGGGGGGGGTGTTGGACCAAAATAATTTATTTTAAAGGATTATTATATTTTCCCTCTTACTAGAAAATTAGTTGGAAGGATTGCAGTACAGCAGCTGTAGCTTTGGGGATTCCATTTTAAAATCTCAACTTCTTACAACTTTCCTGTTGCCTAAACTCTCAGACACTGGGTACATTTTCAGGTTTTTGTTTTTGTTTTAGAATAATTAAAGTTTGTTTTTGTTGTTACACATTTTCTCGAATTAATATTTATAAAACCGTCATTGAGTTCTATCAAAGAATTTTCAGAGCTCAGTAGTTCTTAGAAGTTAACAAGAAACCTCTATAAAATGTTGCTTAAAATGACTCTGTAATAAACTTCAATTAGTAAGAAACATTTTCTTATTTTTTAGGAGTGCATCAGAGCCTTAGGTAGAAATAAACCCCATACTCCTTTCCGAGCAAGTAAACTCACTCAGGTGTTGAGAGATTCATTCATAGGTGAAAATTCTCGTACTTGCATGGTAAGTTGGGTTTTTTTGTTTGTTTTGTTTTTATCCTGAAGTAATAAATAGAAAATTGTTTGGAAATTTTTAGATGTTTGCTAATTATAATTACCCTTCTGTTGTGAGAGATTGTGGTATTTAAGACATGGTCCCTGCCATTTTGGTGAAAAATATTATAGTGCAGCTGTAATGCTTTTTAATTCTAACGTCTGAATATAGAAACTTGGATTTTCTTATGTTGACTTGTTATCGGAGCAGTTGTTAATTTTTTCCAAGGTTCTTTCAAATATCTCTTCATGCACTTCACTGTGTTACTTACAATTTGTTGTGTTTACGGAAGGCTAGATGGTCAGCCAAAGATTAGTGCAGCTGTGCATAAACTTTGAGTTTTTCCCTCAGTCTTCCTCTCTTTCTAATAGAAGAAGTTTACCTTCTTCACTCCCAAACTGCCTTTCAGTTTCTTAACCAGGAACTAGAGTTCCTAGAGAGACTTCAGTGGTCTTGTGGGGCATTAATAGGGTGTTGTCTGTGGCAGAATACTATTCCATCATTAGTAGTAAAAGTAGTAGAAGTAGTCTGTTCCTTTTTCTAAGTGTTTCCTTTCATTTTGTGATGGATTTTTAATGACTTTCTGGTATCTTCAGAAAATCTTTTATATTTTTAACTGGATTTTATAATGATTGCATGTACTAGGTAGGTAGATCTTAGAGGTCAAATACCAGTACAAATATTTTAAAGTAGATTATAAGATTAGACCTTATTGAGCTGTTTGTCAGGATTATTATCTTAAGCATTTATGATTTTATCTTTGCTTCCCCCCACCTTCTTTATAGATTGCCACAATCTCTCCAGGAATGGCATCCTGTGAAAATACTCTTAATACGTTAAGATATGCAAATAGGTATGAAAGTTATTCCTACATTTTAAAATTTGAAATCTAATGTATTCCAGCAGTATATAGTGTGATTTGCTGTGTGCTGGGGAAACATGCCTATAGTTGTAGCGTATGATGATACTAAAGCAGGACCACGAGTTCTAAAGTATTCTGACCTCCAACATGAGATCCTACAGATCTCATGAAACAGAAAATGTAGTAGGACAGATTTATTACCCTTGCTCCTTAAATTTTCAAAGTAAAATTTTATATTTTCGTTAAGGAGACATTATTTAGCATTGTTTTGTTAAAAAGAAAATAATGAGTAGAAATATGTTGTATACTTAGGTAAGACTGATATCTTTATTAACATTGAACTTTTTATCCTAGAATATTTTTCCATTTCAACAAATTATGGTTCATAATATTTTACTATTTTTAAGTAATGAAATTTCTTGTATTATTAAGGCTAAAGTGAAAATTAGGGAGTTAATTTCTTAAATTATTGTGCTCTATGCTAGAAATATTCCTGATGATGTACTATATTTATACAGGCACATATGCATATATCATTTCAGTGGTAACTGTTCTTTCTGGTACTGTGTATGGATTATTTGTATCAATAATGTTGTTACATATAGACAAAATGCACTGAGACCTTATAGTCATGAATAGTTTCAGATGTCCTTAGAACTCTTAGATTAGGATGGCAGGTTTGCTTTGTAGATCACCCCCACCACGCACACACACTTCTTGTTTTGAATTTGATTGTTTACATAGTTTAAAAAGATATTTGTATTTGAGAATGTGATGCATGTATGTTAGTATTTTGATGAAATTTATACACTCTTCCCTTTAACTCATCTGGATCTCTCCCCTTGAAGTTTTAAATGTTTTATCATGTTACATTCACGATTTTAACTTACAGATTATTCTTCATACCCTACTTCTAGAGTGGAGATTGTCTTAATTTTCTTCAAAAACCCATTATTTCTTGTTTCAGCCAAAATGGAGTCTTTCCCATCTTTTTAAAAATAAGAACTTCGTCTGTGTAGAAAAGTATCTAAAAACAAGCTAGGTGGAATGGCTAATGGGTAAAGGCACATACCACAAAAGTTTGATGACCGGAGTTCCACCTCCACCTCCACCTTCCCATGGTGGAAAGACAGAACCCATTCTTCAAATTGTCCTCTTGACCCCCACATGTACTGGGGCATATATACACAATAATAATAAATTTTTTAAAAATTCAAGTCCCAGGCTGGAGAGATGGCTCAGAGGTTAAGAGCACTGTTGTTCTTCCAGAGGTCCTGAGTTCAATTCTCAGCAACCACATGGTGGCTCATAACTATCTGTAATGAGATCTGGTGCCCTCTTCTGGCCTGCAGGAACACATGCAGACAGAACACTGCAAACAAAATAAATAGATAAATCAAAAAATTTCAAGTCCCTAAAAACAAGTAAGCATTTAATTCTTGTAATGTTTACCATCATTTAGAAATCTCTTCAGTGAAACAAAGGAGTCTAGGAAGCAGCCTCCTTATAAGGTCTGACATGTTCCTTCCATTGGCAAGTTACAAATTGTTACCTGATTGCTTTAAAATAATTTTATTGTCCTTTTTAACTTTTTCAAAGATTGTCTTCACACCTATAAATGCATCTGTGTGCATCATTAGGTAACTGTATTTTGATAATTCTTTTCATGTTTGTATTGTGCTTCTTTTGTTTTACCTGAAGAGATTTTTAAATGGTCATCAACACTGCTAGGAAGCCCTAGGCAATTGTCCTTGGGATGTATGTTACTCAGTGTCCACATTTGCCAAGCATGAAGTAGGCCCTGGGTCCTAGTCTCATTCCTTGGGTGAAGCCGGGTGAGGGGGGAATCTACAAAAATACAAAATATGATACGTAAAAGGAGCAGCAGGCAGCCTCCTGCCACCTGGCTCGCAACTAGCTTTACCCAAAATAATTACACGGAAACTATTCATTTAAACACTGCCTGGCCCATTAGTTCTAGCCTCTTATTGGCTAACTCTCACATCTTGATTAACCCACTTTTAATAATCTATGTAGCACTACGAGACTGTGGCTTACCGGCAAGATTCTAACCTATGTCTGTCTCGGGCCGGAGAATCATGGCGTCTGCCTCATTGCCTTCTTTCCAGCATTCTGTCTGTCTACTCTGCCCACCTAATTTTCTGCCCTATTAAAAGGCCAAGGCAGTCTCTTTTATTTAACCAATGAAAGCAACAGAAATACAGAATACCCACCTACATCAATGATAGCTACTTAAAAGTATAATAGAGCTTTAAATATGTCCAACTTTTAACTTCTAGCTACAGACATTAATATTTCCTGAATTACTTTTTTATTATGTGAGAGTTTTTGGAAATCATTTTAAGATGCTTTCCCCCAAAATTATTCATCGAGGGGTAGGGAATAACTTTCTGTGGTAGATTATTATTACAGAACCCCCCCCCAAATATTTTAGAATTATATCTAATAAAATTAAACTCATCTATGCCTTAAAACTTCAAGTAATAAGGATTTCTGCTAACATGAAGCTAGTATATAGATTGTGATCCTAAGTTTTTGTAGACTTTGACTATTTAGACCAATAGTTTGAGGTATTGTGATAAAATACTAACCCCCACTGGCCTCTCAGCTGTATGAGGATGACCTTAAATTCCTGATCTTGTCTCTACCTCCTAGTTGCTAAAAAAGGTGTACACCACCATGCTTGGCTAAATATGTAGGGTTTTTATTACGTATTGTCATACTAGAAATTGAACTAGGGCCTTGACCATTCTAGACAAGTGCTATATAATTGACCTACATCCCCAGCCTGCAGATTGTTTATTTGCTAAAGAAGTGTTTGCTTAAGAGTCAGCATATCAATGGAAGAGTGTTAGTTCTTAGGACAAAGTAGGCTTATTACCTGCCTCACTGCTTGGTGGCAGCAAAGCTTTAATGTCCTCTGGTTTCCTTATCGATGATCATACCTGCACTAAAGGACAATTTTGAGAACCGAGAGAAGTAATCTTTGTAAAATGTTGAGCACAGCACTTGGAAATTATTTTCAACCTGTACTTTAATCAAAACACTGTATTTTAGAAATATTTTCTGGGAGTTGAGAGATAGTCTGCAACAATGCATTTTGATGTTAAATGATTGAGATAACAAATCCAATTCAGTCTATCAATAAAATTGATACTTTTTTTGTATGTATCAATTGATATGTATCAATAAAAGTGATACACACACTGTCAGGTGTGTGGCACTTGCCTATAATCCTGTCATGTCAGAAGTGAATGCAGAAGGATCAGGACATTAAGGTCATCACTAGCTGTCCAGCAAGTTCTCCGATAGATCTTGTCTCAAAAAGCAGGGTGCAGGGGGAAAGAGAGGAGGAGAGAAGAATGAGGGCGTGGTTGTTCCCAGAAGAAAAGCTGTATTAGATGCCTGTGGAGCAGTTTCCTGAAGTAGAGGATATGCTCTGGGTAAAGGAAGAGGTTAGAGTGATTGAAACAGAAGCGTTAACTCAAAATTTTTTATGTATCATTTTAGAAAAAATATGCCTGTACATGGTATATGTACTTGCACAAGAAGATATGTAATAGAATAATTTGTGGGTGACGCTAATGGTCCTTCTCAAGGAGGATATTCTGAAGCAGATAAGAAACAGGCATATGAGTAACAAAGTTAATTTCCATATTCAGAATTTAGGTTTTCAGTTTGTGTAGTAAAGCTGTTTACCACTCACATTCATAATCATGATCACCAACCACAAAAACTTGGGTGTCTTATTTTCTCCGTTATGGAGGAGGTTTTACATCTAATACAATTCTAGTTGGGTAAGTCAACCTTAACTCATTACGAACAGACATTAGAATTTCATTTTCATATCTGGTGAAGAACTGCAAAAGTATTGAGGACTCAGGGCTGGGGAAATGGCTCTGATGGCAAAGTGCTTGTTGCTGCTCAAGTATGAAGCCTTGAGATTGGACCGACACCCCCCCCCCCCCATGTATGGAAAAAGGCCTAGCATAGGGGAGGAAAACTGACCAACTAGTCTAGCCAAATGCTTAGTTAAAAGACCTGGACTCAGAAAATAAAGTGGAGACAAAATTGAGGAAGACATTGCACTTTTGACATCTACATGCATGTACATATGTGTGTTTGACACACAGATACATACACACACATACAGTGTTGATTCATTGACAAAAATGCCAACATCCATTAAATCTGGTAGGTTTTAATGATTAGATTTGAGGGTTTTAATGATTTGATTGAGTGGGTCATATAGTTAAAGCATGGGACCTTGAAGTTTCTAGGAAGATTGGTGAGAAAAGGGAGGTGAAAACTAGAAAGATTTAGGAGTTTTTTTGAGCTAAGGATCAATAAAACATGTTTGGAAACCTATTTATGAAATAATGTTCTAAAATATACTCAACTATGCTGATACTATTTTCTAAACAAAAATTGAACTGTACATTGCTGTCTTTACCAAGAGCTCTTTTAATTTTCACTGTTTTGGTACTACAGAGTAAAAGAGTTTGGAATTAGTCCTTCAGACATTCCCTTCTCCCAGGGTAGTGGCAGTCGCCCTGATCTCTCTCCTTCTTACGATTATGACGACTTTTCTCCTTCGATTACCAGGTCTTGCTTCGTTTCTTTGTCTAGCTTGTTTTGAATTGTGCTGCGCATAGATATTCATTTACTTCCTTTGTTCTGAGCCATTTTTCATTTTCACTTCATTTAGCAGGTGGTTGTACTGCATGATCTGCATTTTTATGTTGTTTATTAATTTGCTTTAAAAGATTTATTTAAAATTTAAGCTCCATATTTCTTTGTTTTTTAAAAGATGATGTCACTTTTGCATATTTATCATTGTGTGGTTAAAAGGTACTTGTCTGAAAAAATAATGATCCTTGTGGTTCAAAAAGTATGTCCTTTTTTAAAATGTGTGAGCTTAAGATTTATAGTTTTTAAACATGACAAAAGGTATGATTCTTAGAATCTTTAGGCATTAGAGATTAAAAATGACTGGCTGGTCTTGGTGCACAAGCCTTTAATCCCAGCACTTGGGAGGTAGAAGCAAGCAGATCATCCTGATCTGAGCATTGAGTTCCCAGACCAATCAGGGATACATAGTGAGACCTTCTCTCAGTAAGTAAAATAAAATCATTTCCTACTTAGGTAGCTGAGTAGTATGGCTGCCAAATCTTCATAGGCTGTAAACTTCTCTGATTTCTATCATAAAATTTAATTGCAGTTATAGTATATTTCTTTGAAATATTTAATTTGTATACTTTGCTACATTTCCTTGATTATGAGTAATAATTACACTTGAAGAAGTAAGTATAAAGTTAAATAAATAAACAAATTCAGAGTTCAGATAAATTTGACCTACAAAGTGACATCATCAATCTTACTACGTTAAATTGTTTTTGTATTGAATAGGTTGGTATTTTCGTGTATCTCTGCATGATCCTTTCATAATTTTAAATAACTTACATATTTATAGGGTGAAAGAACTGACTGTAGATCCAACTGCTGCTGGTGATGTCCGTCCAATAATGCACCATCCACCAAGCCAGATTGATGACTTAGAGACACAGTGGGGTGTGGGGAGTTCCCCTCAGAGAGATGATCTAAAACTTCTTTGTGAACAAAATGTGAGTGACATAATTGTTACTGATCCAACCTTAGTTTGTTTCATCAATAGCAGAACTTAATTGAACATTGTAATCTAAAGCAGGGATGATCAAATCCACCCCATGGACTAACCATCTGTTCAGATATGTACAGCTTTACTGGAATATAGCCATGCTTGTCTAGCTGCTGTCTTACCATGGTAGCAATGACATAATGTATGGCTCATGGAATCCAAACTAATTTCTTGGCTTACTAGTACTCTCATAATAGCCTATTTATTTTTCAGATTTTTATGCCTACATTAAAATTTTAACACCATGCAGTGGGGCCTTCAATCCCAGCCCTCAGGAGAAGAAGCAAGTGGATCTTTGTGAGTTTGAAGACAGCCAGGGCTACACAAAGAATCCCTATCTTGAAAAACAAAAACTAAAGAGTTTAAAATTACATATTAGGTGTATCATATATAAATTTTTTTTTTAAAAAAAACCTGTCAACAGCTCTGGGTGGTGCTGGTGGTACACACCTTTAATCTCAGCACTCAGGGCAGATCTGTGAGTTCCAGAACAGTCAGAGCTACACAAAGAAACCCTGTCTCAAAACAAACAAACAAAACAACCTGGCAACATAAGTATATGGATTAAAGAGATAAAAGAACTGTACTAAAAATTACAGCCCCAGAACCACCCAGAACAAAAGGAGAAGCAAACAAAACCCCAATTAAAATGCCAACATCCATTTAATCTGGTTGGTTTTCTATATTTGAAGTTTCTTAAAAATTTTATAATTTCAAATTTCAACAATTTAGTTACTTTTAAAATATATATTCTGGAAGAATAGGCAAATATAAAGAAATGCATGTGATCTTGTCCTGTAGCACAAACCTATAATCCCATGACTTGGGAGGCTCAGGCAGGAGGATTGCTGCAAATTTGAGGCTATATATTAAGTTGCAGACTAGCAAGGGTTACAGTGCAATAACTTGTCAAGTAAGGTCTGGAGAGGTTGAGCAAATGACTCTGTGCGTAAAGAGCTTGCTGTCCAAGTGGGAGGACCATAGAAGACAGAGAACTAAAAATGAGATCCTAGCTTCAGTCTATCCTCCCAAAGTTTTGAAAGATACTATGGTTGTTCTTAAACTCTCAAAGCAGATATTGAACTATTGCCTAGATATGATTACCTCCCAAAGATACAGAGACCCAGAGTAAGATATGCAAATCCTTGCAATTATTGTATCTTACTAGACCTGCATAGGACACAAAGTTTTAAAAAAAAAAAGATTGTCTTTTCTCTCTCTCTTTTTTGTTTTTTGTTTGTTTGTTTGTTTTGGGTTTTTTTGTTTTGTTTTTTCAAAACAAGATTTCTCTGTAGCTTTGGTGCCTGTCCTGGAATTAGCTCTTGTGGACCAGGCTGGTCTCGAACTCACAGAGATCTGCCTGCCTCTGCCCTCCTGAGTGCTGGGATTAAAGGCGTGCACCACCACTGCCCAGCGAATGACTTTGTTTTGTTTTGTTTGGTATTGTTTTTTTGGGTGTTTTTTTTTCCTTCAGTTTTTGTAACAGGTAGCCCTAGCTGTTCTGGAACTCTCTCTGTAGATCAGGCTAGCCTCAAACTCAGAAATCTGCCTGCCTCTGCCTCTGCCTCTTGAGTACTGGGATTAAAGGTGTGCATCACCATTGCCTGGCTTAAATGCCATTTCTTTTTTTAAAAAATCATTTATTTAACTTTATTTTATGTGCATTGGTATGAAGGTATCATATCCCCTGGAACAGAAGTTACAGACAGTTGTGAGCTGCTGTGTAGGTGCTGGGAATTGAACCCAGGTCCTCTGGAAGAACTGCCAGTGCTCTTAACCCACTGAGCCATCTCTCATTTCTACTCAGCATGTTAGAACAGTTTTTTAAGTAGACTTCTACATAGTTGTCTGTTACTGAAGCCATAGTTTGAGAAAACAGATTGAGTTAATAGAACTGACTTAGGCAGGAGACTCCAAAAGTAAAGCTAAGCAAGATCAATTTTGGGTTGATTTAACAACCAAAACATGCTGTGTTGTCATGTGTTTGTTTTTGTTGTTGAAGTACAATTATGATTTGTTATTTGTGATTCCTATTAAAAACTAACTGGCTTCCTTGCCTTGGTGACACATACCTATAATTCCAATACTAGAGAAGCTGAAGCAGGATGATTGCTGAGAATTTGATGCTAACCTGGACTACCTATCCAGGACAGGTCAGCCAGGAATGCAGAAGACAAATCAAAATACACATCCAGACACACCTGTAATTCCACCTATTTAGGAGGCAAAGGCAGGAAGGATTGTTAAGTCTACCAATATGAGGTCATTCTAAGGAATAGAGCGAGATCTTTGTTTCTTTATTTTTTAAAATACTTTTTTTTTTTTACTGTAAAAAAATCAGGGGCTGGAGAGATGGCTCAGAGGTTAAGAGCACTGACTGCTCTTCCAGAGGTTCTGAGTTCAATTCCCAGCAACCACATGATGGCTCACAGCCATCTCTAATGAGATCTGGTGCCCTCTTCTGACATGCAAGTATACATAGAAGGAATGTTGTATATCTAATAAATAAATAAATCTTTTTAAAAAAATCAGTAAATGACTTTTTAAATTTTAGCCCATGAGAATACTGATCTTGATAGTCACTTTGAAATACATGGTACCAGTCAAAGATTGTGTCCTTACATATTTCTTTTCAAGAGAAGAAACTTAAGCTGGGCACAGTGGCACACACTTGTTTTCTCAGTACTTGGGAGACTGCAGGCAACCCGGCTTCCATAGTATCAGGTCAGCCAGGAGTACAGAGCTAGACCATGCCTCAATCAAAGTATATTCTCTGTGCAGCTGCTTTCATGTATCATAAAGTCCTGTATATGTGAGGAAAATTGTTAGAGAAGCCAGTACTAACTAGGAAAACCTGAAATAAGCTTACGTTAATTGAAAAGTTGGACTGTTCTGAAAGATGGTGCTTTTTAGGGTAAGTTTACATGTAATATTAGTAAATTCCTAAGTGAAAATGACTTCTTGCTTGTGAGTTGGACTTTCATTAAAATGGCCTTTCTTAAAAAGACTTTACAAAACTGCTTTTGAGACTGGGCTATAGCTAAGTGGTAGAACGTTGCTTTTTTTAAAAAAACACATGAATTCCTCGGTGGGTTCCCAAGGAAGAAAAGAAAATAAAAACAAAACTTCAGTGACATTTAAAAATACAAGCTTTAGATGATAGTTTTAAACTTTGTGTTGTGTTTTAAGGAAGAAGAAGTTTCTCCACAACTGTTTACTTTCCATGAGGCTGTCTCCCAGATGGTAGAAATGGAAGAACAGGTTGTAGAAGACCACAGGGCAGTGTTTCAGGTATGTAAAAAAAAAAAAAAGGCCTTCTTCAAACAGGCCTTAAATTAATGAAAATTTCAAGAATCCTTTGAATAGAACACAATTCTTTTAAAATTTCTTAGTCATGTATGTGTTAGGGTATGCGATAGCAAATAATCTCCCTGTCGTATTTTCTTTTTCTTTTTTAATTTAATGAACAGGTTTAAGGATGTAGTTCAGTGGTAGAATGCTTGCTTACCATTCACACAGAATGCCAAGGCTTATCCCTGGTCCACCCCCCACCTCCCAAAAAATTGATTTTACAGTGACTTAGTGATGTCATGTCTACTGATTACTGATTTTTTTTTTTTTTTTGAGAATATCTGCTTCCGTTGTTTGACTCAGAACTCATGTTTTGTAGGCCGGTCTGCTCTGATATTTGTAAAGCATACCAGTTTACAAGTCATTTTGTGTTGAATTCTTATTATTAGGAATCCATTCGCTGGATAGAAGATGAAAAAGCTCTCTTAGAGATGACTGAAGAAGTCGACTATGACGTTGACTCATACGCTACACAACTTGAAGCTATTCTTGAGCAGAAAATAGACATTTTAACTGAGCTACGAGGTAAACTGTCTTTCATCTTAGTGTTTGGTATGAAATTTGTACGGTATAAAGATGTGTAGTAGTGAAAGATTTTATATGATAAAAACATAAAAAGGGAAGATTGTTAATAATTGTTGACACCATTTAGAGCTTGAGAGGCCATTGTTTGTTGAAGACTGTTGTCCTATACAGAGTGAAATGTTTGGGCATCCTTGCTTACAAGCATTTATCCACTAGAGGACAGCACCATATCAGTTGTGATAAATATCTAGCCATTACTAAATGTTCCTGGAGCAAAAACCACTTCCATTTGAGCACCACTGCTGTAGAAAGATGTCTCATTTCCATGCTTGTAATTTCCCTGACAGTTTATTAACAAATTGGTAGTCCTATGACTGTAGGTCAATGCATGGTAATAGACAGAATATATAAGAGCAATTAAGTGTTATCCTGTTTACCTGGTGAGACAACAGATGTCATTTATTTTTAATTCAGCTTTTAAATTTTCTTAGTTTAAAAAGGGTTTAGTAGGGCTTAGTAGAAATCTCATAATATTGAAAGAAGTATTACATTTGAGTAATACTTATCATTTCCCTTTTAGATAGGACTGCATATTTCAACATTAAAAGCTTGCCTATATTCCCCCACACACAAAAAAAAATAGAACAAATTTAACTTAATACTTTAAAATGTGTATAAGAGAAACTGGTTGAAAAACAAACAGGCTTTTACTAGGCATCCATAAGATTTGTTATAGGTACACATAGTTCTGAGGGACTAGATGACATAGAGCAAGAGAAATACTGAGTTTTGTTAAGTGCTAGCTTGATACACTATCAATGTTGTGCACCATATTGCTTGTTGTACAATACTTACTCCCTTGTTCTCTTCTTTCCCCAAGATAAAGTGAAGTCTTTTCGTGCAGCGCTACAAGAAGAAGAACAGGCCAGCAAGCAAATTAACCCCAAGAGGCCCCGAGCTCTTTAAAGTTGGTATTTGCTACTAAAGGATCGATCCCCAGAATCCCCAGTACTCTTAACAAATGGTGGTCCAAATGTAAAGGCCACTTGAATGTTTTTGAAATCTTAAGTGTGTGGAAAATACCTTGTCCTTCACCTGAATGACATTTCAATTTTATGAAACACTCCTTTGTTTACAAAATGCTTCTAGTCCAAGAGGCACAAATAATTGGGATTAGTGAAGTATTTTGTTTCATTTACCCAAACAGTGATTGCTTTTGGAAATCCTTGCCAATTTTATTTAAAGATTGTGGAAGTAATCCAGAAGTGGAGAGTGGGGGAAGCCACAAAATTTCCTTTAACTCAGATCCATTTTCGTAGCAAGACTGAGCAATTCTGAATACTTTGCGTGCATGCATACCTCATCAGTGGTTGTACACACTCCTAGAAACAGCTGTGCTTACTCCTCCTCTGTGCCTTGACTAAGGCTATTGACCCTAGATTTCTGAAGCACAGCCAAGATAACGTACATTCCTTATTTGTAACTGTAAATTACCTTTATTGTGTGTACATTTTTACTGTATTTGAGACTTTTTTTGTGTGTGACTAGTTAATTTTGCAGGATGTGCCATACCAATTGAACGGAACTAAAGTCTGTGACAGTGGACATAGCTGCTGGATCATTCCATCTTACATGTAAAAAAATCTGGAATTATGATTTTAATACCATTGATATGTGATTATAATTTTCTTAGCATTTTCTTTGTAAAAAACTAAAATATAAACTAGTTGGTGTATAATAAAAAGTAACGAAATTCTGAGAAGAGTTTTATCTTAGGATAATACATAAATATGCAGTGTGTGTGCCAGTGGTGTTAACAAGACTAATAGTGTAATTTGATCTTTAACAATGCCATTATTTAAGTTGAAGTGTTTATTAGCGCCCCAAATTTAACGTACTGTTAAAGGAAATTGGCTTCTGATGCATGAAAATTTGTATGTACATTGAAAGTAGTTCATAATACAAGTTAGATAGCCAAGCGTAGACAGTATGTAACCCCCAGAAGTGTCGCTGCCTTACGAGGCAGTTCCATAGCAAGTTCCATCAATATCTAGTATGTGATGGTTTGCCATTTGGTGAGAATCACATCTCTCGCAGATAGAATTGATAGTAAGGAAGACTACTCCATAAATGGCAGGACTCGCTTTTACAGCTGCTACCCTTAAAGAGAAAACTGGCCAACTTTAATGTAAATATTGTTTAAAGATTTATATATATATACATATACATTATATATCTCTATGAGTTTTCCCTTGGTTACCAGTATATAGTCCATTAAGTTAACCAAAGAACTTACCATGTTTCTCTTGATTAACTCTAGGGAACCTACTGATTCACTCAGTGAGCCAAGGGAAAATCTATGAATAGAGTCAGCGAGCCAGATCCTTTACTTCACTGATCCTAAGTGAGAGGGTAGCTGTGAGGAATCCTAACACCATGGGGTAAAGCTCTGTAAACATGAAATCTAAATCAAATGTAGATTTTTCACAACATTATTAATAAATGAAATCTATAAAAACAAATTTAGAAATAATGTACTTCAATATAATATATTCACCTTTGTTTTGGAAGGAACTCAGGTTTTCTTGCAGTTGTAAGATGTATTCTATTTGTGTCTGTTTCAAAGACGAGAGGAAGAATGAAGAACTATTTCTATTGACCTTGCAGAGGTCAATAGAAGGTGGCGCACACCTTTGGTCCCAGTACCTAGAGGCAGGTGGGTGTGAGTTCAAGGCCAGCCTGTTCCACCTAGTGAGTTCCAGGGTAGCCAGAGCTTTGTAGAAAGACCTTGTCTCCAATAAAAGGGTAAATTTTGAGAACACCTCATATGTAATGGGCAATGAAGACACGAACTTGCTCATTAAGCACAACTGTTTAGCTTTCATGTTGTTGGCACTGGACAGGAACTATTTTCGGAAGGTTTTTTTATAGATCCATTTTTAGGTTTAATGTTATTTGCACTGGATAGCTACTATCTTTGGAGGGTCTTTATATGTATAGATACATGCTGCCATGGTAGCTTCATCTTAATCCGTAGTCAGTGTACTTGAAAATTAGTACCAGCAAGTATCTTTGGAGGTAAAATACGATTCAACTTTACAGAGGGAAAACAGACCAACCAGTAAAGGGGACTAAAGCGCAGCAGTTGGTGAGAGTCAAGGGAAACAAGCTAAAAAAGCCCAGTTAAGTGGAATTGTTTCCCTAAAGGTAGAGATGGTACAAGTGAATTCTACAAAATAGTTCTGTGACATTAAAAAAAATTAACCCTTAAGAAGTTACTATTCGTGTGACAAAAGTAGCTTTTGCAGCAGTCTTGTTGTTTTGAATATCTTTAGACCTTTCTGAAATTTAAAGGCAGCTACACATTTTACCTATTCATAGCTAAGTTATTCAAAGTCATTATAGCATTTACTATATGACTTTTAAACCAGATTTTGGGGGAAAAAATACCTAGGTAGGATTTTAAGTTTTGGGTACAAAGAGAGCCAAATATCCAATGAAGATAGTTTCCTTATATAAATAAAGCAGCTAATTTATTAAAATATATAAGCAGCATTTAACTTCAATCTGACAAATTTTAAATAGCTTAAAAAGAAACACCAGGTACTAGAATTTTAATTATCCAGAAGTAAGGAATAACCAGGCGTTTGTAGTTGTGGGTAAATGGCTTTTCTTTTAAAAAGCTGAAAGCTGAAAACTGAAACTACATGCAGTGGTACACAAGTGTAATCCCAGCATTTAGAAGGCTGAGGCAAGATTCTGAAATTAAAGTCGATGTTAAAAAAGAAAAAAGATCCTCTCATTAATGAAAGAAAATCACCAATTTAATAAAGCCCATTTGACTTATAAACTCTCTAAATCTGAAATCTGTAGATCTTGTCTCCCCCAAGAAAACAGACTTAACATGACTTTATAATTAGCTTCTTTCTAAGTGTCTGCATTTCACAGGCAAAGTCATATGGGATATGACTGCAGCAGACTCTGGCTTATCCAGAACTGTGTTGTTGTCGTCTGTGTTGCAACGGGTCATCTAACAGATGGCATGTGGAAACTGTCTAGAATGAAGAGGGTGTTTAAAGGAAAGTCGTGTTAGGTAACGTACTGTACATGGGAATGAGGAGGATTTGTGACCGGGTGACGGAGCTGCAGGCCTAAAATAAGCCTCACAGTCCATAACACAGTGACTAAAAAAGTAACATTTTTATACAATTAATTGTTAGAAAGTTTAAGTGTATGGTTGTGCGTATCTGCGGCTTTTAAACTTGAAAATGGTTATGTCTATTGAACCCTGCCCTTTGTAGTTATTTAAAACAAAAACAAGATTATGTGGAATTAACTACTTTCACCATACAGGATAATAATAATAGGGATTTATAATTTCATTTTTTTTTCCTGGTCTTGAAAAAAAAATTTTCAAATGGCTAGGAAAAGTGGATGCCTTCTGCATTGAATCCATGTAGCAACCTGAAGGGAAAGAAATGGAAAATGAATGTGTTATCAAAAAAGCCCAACTTTTGATCCATAATGTACCATTAATACATAAAACACATCAACATACTTACACATCTATTCCTGTCACTAGCTACTAAAGAAACTTTACTCTCCAAATAAATTGGCAAAGTATTCTTAGTTAAAACCATGTCTTGTTACATTAGCTCTGAATGGAATCACCTTAAAGGGATTGCTGTCCCTGGCCTCGGCTCATCAGCACTCACTCTATTTCGGCTGGAATTTGAGAAAGTGAGATAGATGAATCATCTCTGCCTATTCTCTGAACTTTTACTCATTTTTCACTTTCCTTTTCTTTGTGGATATTGTGTGCTTCTCTGACTTTTGTTAAAAAGCAGTGCCCTGAGGAAGGATGAAGTGTAAAATACAATGTATTTGAACCTGAGGTTGTTTTTCAGGATGTCCCACAGGAAGAGGTCCATATGGATTAAAATGTCTAGAAAAACTATGTGTAGGTGCTTATGAATATCATTCAAATAGTAGGAATAACAGCCAGTGAAGACTCAGTATCCCTGCTAGCTAGCCAATAAAACAATAATTCCTTAAGTCTTAGTTCTAGACTGTTCTACTGAAAAAGCAAACTAGTGTCTTACAGCATTCTTTTTTTTGAAAATTCAGTCTCTATGGCTAGGGGCTGGAGAGATGGTCAGCAGTTAAAGAGCACTGAAGTAAAGGGAACTGGCTAGACGTGGGGACACATCCTAGAACTTGTACTTGTCTAGCATATGCAGACCTCTGAATGCAGTCCTTAGCAACATAAGAAAACAGTAAACAAAATGTACAGGAACTTGTGAAAGTTAAGTGTGAATGAGTAAAATACAGGTTTGTACAATTGGGTAATTAAGTGAAACTTGCTTGGTACAAAGTAAAACAAATTTTGGTCCCAATTGCCTGTATATCTTAACAGGTGTAGAATTTGCCTCAGGCCAAGTACCAACTGCTATTAAATGGATAATCAGATATGGTTATAACTGGCATTTTATGGTTACCATCTGATTAACAGTAGCTATTCTAAAATAAATAATGTATCATCAGATCCAGTTACATATGTTATGATGATTTTTCTACCTTACAGGCTACTTGGAAGAGGTAAGCATAAGGTAGTAAGACCATGAATGACTTTGGGGTTGGAGCAGGAGAAAAGAAGCACACAGTACACATGAACCCAGGCTATCTATGGCGTAGACTGTTCTTTACTACTGATCTTAACATATTCATTCTGCAGCTAACAAGTTGCCATCCTTTACACCAGTGGTTCTCAACCTGTGGGTCGTGACCCCTTCAGGCGGGTCAAATGACCTTTTCACAGGGGTTGCTGACATTTACACTATGATTCTAAACAGTCGTAAGATTATAGTTATAAAATAGAGATGGAAAATAATCGTATGGTTAGGGTCACCACAACACAAGGAATTGTATTAAAGGGTCATAGCATTAGGAAGTTGAGAACCACTGCTCTACACCAAATACTGTTCCACACTATTGAAATGCTATGCAATAACTCTCCCAAGAGCACCTTATGCCGCTTAAAAGCCTTTAAGTCTCTAATCTTAAGATACCACAGTAAAGAAATGTAAGCATTTAGAACAACAACAGATGTAATTACCTGATAAAGTCATCTATGTCCATGGAACGGGCCCGTTTGTCACTAAAACCTGTGCTGGTTAGGATTTGCTGTATTTTATCTGCTATACTGAAATCTTCTGGTATTACCTATCAATATAAGATTCAGAATAAATGAACAACATATCTTTAATGAAGATACCATGACTCTTTTTTTAAAGTTCAGTAATTAGTCACTTTTAATGTAGACTTGTAAATGATGGAACACCTGACAGTTCAGTAAGACATGAATTTCTACAGGCTGATTTTGTGACACAATGCTTGAAATACTTTGAGTTATCATGCACATACTGCCCCTTTTCAATCTTAAAATGCTAAAATAATAGGCTTTGGATTTTGGTGCGGGAGAGTTGTCTGTATTCTGTCAATCATGTTTTAAATAAACGCTGATTGGTCAGGCAGGAGGTGTAGGCGGGAAAACCAGACAGGAAGTGGAAATGATGCAAGGAGAGCAGAAGAATCCTGGGGAGGAAGAAGCTGATTCCTCCCACTCCTGCCCAGACCACCAAAGCAGCAGGATGTGAGCTGCCCCACTGAAAAAGGTACTGAGCCACATGGCTAACATAGATCAGAAAAATGGGTTAATCAAGATGTGAGAGTTAGCCAGTAAGAAGCCTGACCTAACGGGCCAATCAGCATTATAATTTACAGAGATCTGTGTGTGGTTTTTCTCTGGGACTAAACAGCTGGGGGACCAGGCAGAACAGAAATCAGAACAAGCAGGCCCCCTCATGTTACAGGATTTTACAAATAAAGTGAGTAAAACCTTAAAGCAATTACTGATCTTTTAAAAACAGTTCACCCAACCGGGTAGTTTTTCTGAGAAATAATTCTCTTTTAAGTAAATTATATGTTGCTGCGTATTGTAGCTCACCCCTGTATTCCCAGAACTTGAGAGGCGGGGGTTGGGGGTAACCTAAGTTCAGGGCAAACCTATGCTACAGAGTAAGACCACCTCAAAACAACAAAACAGTGATTGATTTTACTTGATTCATGCCTTTTTTTTTTTAATTTAGACTCGTAGCTTTTGTCTACATTAGAGAATGGAGATAGCACTGTGGTGTATTAAAGCATGGGAGAATCTGGGAATAAAAAATGTGAAGGAAATAGTCATAATATGTCTTCTGTCAAACTTAGCCTGTACACATGCACATGTGTATATATGAGGACTCCCATAGTTAAATTCAAGTCAGGCATGAGGCACATGACCATAAACTAGCTACTTACCGCACTCTTTGTTCCTATTACTTAAAATTTCTAGATGTCATAAACTAGTATGATCACTAACCTGATGTGATAACATATATGCCTTTAATCCCAGCACTTGGGAAATAAGGGTGCATCAGGGATTTAAGACATTCTCAACTATAGCCTGGGTTACTATCTGAGCAACAAACAGGATAATCACAGTTTGGGTTAGCACATTATACACATTTAAGTAATTACTAAACTACTAATCTATGTATTTGAAGAATTGCAAAACAGTTGAATCCAACTCTTAATAGGATTAAATGCAAATGTTAAAGAGGGTCCAGCTCATAGAATTCACAGCAAAATTAACCTGTTAAAAGTCAAGGTTAGCTAGGCATGGTGGTTCACACTGCTGAGGCAAGAAGATTACTCTGTGCTTCACCTCAAACCCAGCGTAGGCTATATAGCAAGACCATTTCTAAAACCATCAAGAGATTTGTACTAGTACACATTATATATTGACTTTAAGGGTCCTACAGAATATATAGGAAGATATGAGAATTTAAAAAAAAAAAAAAAACACAGGTAGGCAGGCTGTAAATCTTGGCAGCTACCCTGAAGAGAAGAGGGAAGGAAAAGAGCTATGCTGCCAGAAATACGTCTGCATTGAGATCAGCCACATTGGCGGGGGGGGTGGTGTCTTAGAGAAATAATAAAGAAACACCAAGTGTTAGGGAAAGCATGCTTAGGACAGATAGAAGTAAAAAAGGTTATGCTTTTGTGAGTAATCCAGAAAGGCAAGCAGATGTAGGTGCTCTGTAAGACATTGGCAAAAAGAACATTTTTATAAGTGAACATCACTGAAAGAGCCAAGTGGTGCATGCCTTTAATCACAGCACTTGGGAGGCAGAGGCAAGAGGATCTCTGAGTTTGAGGCCAGCCTGGTCTACAAGAGCTAGTTCCAGGACAACATAGACTCTGTCTCAAGTGAAGAAAAGTCACTGAAATGGTAATGTTTACTCAACTCACAGTATTATGTACTGAACAGTGAATTCTGTAGTTTCTTTCCAACAGCTGTTGTACTGCACTTGATCTGGAAAATAAGTGACAATCACAAGATCAGATTATACATAATTTAAATTTAGACAAAATGAAATATATGTTCCAGGTCTATAAGGTGGCTCACTGGTAAAGGCGCTTGCTGCCTTGCCCAACCTGAAATCAAGCCCCAGAACATACATGGAGGAAGAACTGGACTAGTCTTGTAAGTTGTTTCCTGACACCGCGTGCGCACACACACATCACATGTAATTTTTAAAAATGTAAAGGGTGGTGATTGTGCACACCTTTAATCCCAGCACTTGGGAGGCAAAGGCAGGTGGATCTCTGAGTTGGAGGCCAACCTGGTTTACAAAGTGAGTTCCAGAACAGCCAGGACTTACATAGAGAAACCTTGTATTAAAGGAATGTATATGATTTGGTGAAATTCGGGAATTTAAAAAGGGTACCAACTATTTAAACTCAAAGCTAACATATATTAAAAAAAAACTAGAGTCCTAATAAACATCTCTAAGTCTTGTTCTTTAAATAAGAGTCAATCAAATTCCACACAGTGTTTTTAAAAAAGACTAGTTTGCGTTATGCTTCCCCAGCTGGCCTCAAAATTCCAGTGCTCTAGTTACATACCATTTTAACTTTCCAAAGCTGAGCTACAGAAATGGAATTCTAAAGAGATCTTAGATACTCCACAAAATATCCCCAACCAAAACAACTTGCTTGGGTTTGGTGGTGCTGTCCTATAATAGTACTAGCTAGTAGAAATACTGAGGTAGGGGGAATTGGAAACTCAAGGCCAGCCTGGAACTCAAAAAGGTAGCTGGGTCTGAGGGAGTCAGAGTGATAGAATGCTCAGCTAGCATGCTTAAAATCATAGACCCAATCTTTGGCATGCCCAAGAAAAAATGTCCACGCTCTCTAAATCACACCTTACCTCCTTTACCCTAGGATTCCCAGGTTCTGTTAAGTCTTTCAAGTTAGTCAAACAGCACAGAGACTAGAAGGTGGGTCAGTTAGTAAACCTAATCACCTGAGTTCCATTCCCTGAACACATCAAAGTGGGAAAGAACCAACTCCTCAGAGCTGTTCTCTGACCTTCACATGTGCACCCCAACAAGTCCCCGCCCACAATAAAAGGAGAAAACCCAAAAGCAAAGACTTGGAAATGTGTGGTTAAATTATTATCTTTCCGTTTTACAAAGAGAAACTTGATTTGACTCCCAACTCCATTTTTCTTATTACCTTCTGTCAGTACCTAGTACTTATTTTAAAAGGTGAAGTCTGTTTGACATGAATAATCTACTTAGAGCAGCTTTTTGTGGGTAAAGGACCAAATGATATGACTATCTGGAAAACTGGTCCCTCACCATTACAAAGTAGTAGAATACTTACTTGAATGCAGCAGACAGTGTCTTGTTTTTCCGAACAAAGGTGATCCTTACTAGGCCATCCCATTCCTGAAATATAAGATGAATTATTTTCTTCAAATACTGCTTATCTATGCCTGCTAGCCATGATCATTTTTAATATGTAAAGACAGAGGTAATGAAAATGACCTACATCTTGATCTAGCTGGCAAAAAGATTTACACTTCTGCATTTGTGTGAATCTCACTGAATTCAACTGGAAAAAAGTTGTCCCCATACATAATATGGCATAGGATCACTTTCAAAATAGATTCAAGCTAAAGACAGTGGCACAGGCCTATCGATGATTAGGAGCTTAAAGTGATACAGTACCTGGAGAACTTGAGCCTAGTCTTGAGCCACAAGAGACCCTACCTCATAAAAACCAAGATATCACATTCAAAGCACAAACACAATTCAGGACGTAGTTTGTGCATCAAGTTTTCTCTAATGTAATTAGCTGAATTTTATCCCAAATCATCTACATTTTTTTTTTTCTGGTCACAAAACCAGTAATTTTAATTGGAAAAATGTTTGCCACAGAGGCTGAGGATGTGGTTCAGTGGTAGCACACTTGCTTCAGCATGCATAAGTCCTTGGGTTTTTATCCTTAGAACCACTAAAAAGAAAGTGTTATCACAGTACTATTCAAACAGGGCTAATTTAATTTTACATCGTTTTCCAAGTTTTCTTCAGTGTTTCCGACACATATAATCATAAGTTTTGAAATGCAACTCTATTCTAGTATTCTAGTAATTTGACTTTTTACAAAAATTTTCCATGTTCTTGTTTGGTATGCATTTTCTGTCAAACAATTCCATCCTAAGGCTACACCATAATTCCTATCTCCTCTGTTTGGATATTCAGGTTGAGTCAGTATTGTTCTGCTGCTTTAGAATGACATTTTCCAACCTGGATTTTTTGCCTTTAATGACCCAGTATTTTGACCTCACCTGGAAATTGATAGGTGGTGGCGGATTCTTAGGTTCTATCCTTACAACGCTGGACTCCACCTTGGGGGGTGGTCTGAAGTTATTCTTTCCCACCTGTTAATCAGAAAATGTTTAGTCCTCTCAGAGGTAACTTTATTGACATTTTGTTTGGAGACAGGGTCTCACCATATAGGTCTGGCTGGCCTGGACCATCAATCACCCCTCTGCCTAATGGGATTAAAAATGTGTGTCACCATACCTGGGAAGGGTAACTTTAAATTGGTAACCAAAGATGTTCTGTTGGCTTAGGACTGTGGATCCAGCACATGGCTAGTAAGAGTTAGAGAACGAAATCCTGTAAGGCAAGGCCAAGTGCTCCAGAATGAATTAAACTGATTATTTAATGATTAAAAAAAAAAAAACCAGCCGGGCGGTGGTGGCACACACCTTTAATTCCAACACTTGGGAGTCAGAGGCAGGCAGATCTCTTGTGAGTTCGAGGCCAGCCTGGTCTGCAAGAGCTAGTACACAGACAAGCTCCAAAGCTACAGAGAAACCCTGTCTCAAAATAAAAATAAAAATAAAAATAAAAAAACCTCACAAAAAACCTCACATACCTTCATTAGATGATCCACACGAGCTAAAAGCTGTGTATTAATGGAGAGTCTGCAGTATAATTTATCCCCAGGTTTTGCAACCAAACGAAGAGCAAATTCTCTTTGAAACATAAGTATAGCACATCTGAAAAGGAAGCAGAAAGGAACAAGAAAAAACTGCACATCTTCAATTACAGCTATATTTTTTAATTTTTTTTTATTTTATGTTTCTGAGTGTTTGGCCTGCATGTATGTATTTGCACTGTGTGTGGAATTGGTGCCCATGGAGGTCAGAAGTGGACATTGGATCCTTAGAAGAGGAGTTACAGCCAGATGTTAGCTGCCATGTGGGTGCTGGGAACAAAACGCCTGTCTCTGCAAGAGCAACTTATGCCCTTAACCACTGAGCAACAGTGAATTGCTCTGGGAGGATCTGTGGTTAATGACAGTATGATCAAAAACGTAGACCACTTTCAGCCTGAGTGTTATTGCTACAGATAGCTGTACTCCTAACCACAAGGAAGATGGCTTTTCCTCATGGATTAGATGAACAACCATTTTTATCTGTTGTTATGTATTAGTATAAGTATTAAGTATTAGTCTATGATGCCTTCTGAAAAACAAAAAGTAAAGTTGACTCCACAGGAGAACTGTATTTGTGATGTAGTTGGAATTACATCTCAGGTATGGCCTGATAGGTTACAATGTCCAGTGTTTACTTGGTTTAACAATTTACAATGTGCCAGGCTGTGTTGGTGCACGTCTTTAGCACTCAGGAAGTAGAGGCAGGCAATCTGAGTTGGAGGCCAGCCTGGTCTACAAAGTGAGTTTCAGGAGACTAGGACTGTTACACAGAGAAACCTTGTCTCGAAAAATCATTAAAAATAATAATAATGTGAACTTCTTCAGTAAGCAATGGGGACATGTTTCAAGGTTAGTGAAGAGAAGACATCTTCAAAACTGTGTTTGAGATTTTCACGTGAGCAAAGGCCTCACGCACGAAGGTAAATTCTCTACCACTGAGCTATATATATCTCCAGCCCTTTCGCCTGCTTTTTTATTTTGAGACCAGGTCTCACAAAGTTGCCCAAACAGGTCTTGAACTCACAATCCTCCTACCTTGACCTCCAAAGTATATCCATATATGTCTACATATCCCAAACAAAACTTTTATGACAGTATATGTAGTTGTCTTCTGATATAATCTATTCCTTGTCATTTAAAAGGGAATGGGGTAAGGCATGTTTCCATGCCTGATGGCCTGAGTTTGATCCCTGAGATCCTGTAAGTTGTCCTGTGACCTCTGGAAGCACACAGGCAGGCACACACAATTTTTTAAAAGGATGGTTATGGCTCCCACAACTTATGAGTTCATTTTTTAAACACTTGAGGAGGTATGTGACTTAGTTTCAAAGCTACTGGTTTTAAACAATGTTAAACCATTATTTTAACTAGTTAAGTTACTACAAGTACCTAGACAGATATAATGTAAGGAATTTTTTTATCAATGTTTATTAAGAGTATTAGAAAGTAGAGGAAAAGGCATGCACACACAGTAAAAAAAAAAGACTTTGATTAACTAAAAGACTTCCCTAGAAGTCAGTATTTGTGTGTGTGTTATTGTGTATGCGCGCACATGCACGTGCTTCTGAAACAGAGTATTGTAGCACAAATAATAAAAACCCAGAGACAGATATTGGGGTTCAACCTGAAGATCTAAAAACAAAGCAGTCAGTCACTGGCTCTTACCTCTCTCTACCTGAGACCAAAAATGGGTGCGATTCTGTCTCCACGATTCCTGAAGATTCCACAGCTCACACTGCCCTTTACATTCCTCTCTCTGCCCAGCCATATTGCTCCTGTCTCCACCTCCCTAGTGCTGGGATCACCTTTGTGTGCTCTCCTTTTCTCTTTGAGACAGATTCAATCCTGTGTGGTCCAGGGTGGCCTTGAACTCAGAAATCCCTCTGCCTCAGTCTCCTGAGTCCTGGGATTAAAGGTGTATACCACCATTCCCTGGCATGTATGGCTGTTTTTCCCTCTCATCTTCAGACAAGCTTTATTAAAAAACAAATAATATTCCACTGAGTCTCATGTGGTGCTGGAAACTGAACACTGGGTTTTCTGGATGCTAGTCAGTATTTCACTCCATCCAGTGAGCTACATTCCTGTCCCAGAAATTGGTATTTTCTACAAAAATATTCTCTAGTGTTTTTTTCAGTTGTATTAATCTTTGACTGTGTTCCTGACTTAAAATACCAGTCTAAAATTTAGCAGTAATTGTTGTTTTTCACAAACCTGAAAAATGGTCGGTGGAGCAGCAACTTGAAGACAAAAGGAGAGGAGATCTGAAAGAGAATGAGTAGTTAGCTTTGAGGAACGATGCACTGGAGAAATAGGATGCTTCTGATAGTAATACCTGATAAGGCAGGTTTGCCACACAAGCATCGAAGAACGGCAAATCTGATTTCAATACATCTCCCACCAGGACCTGGAGTTTGCTGGCCAGAGGCCTGATAATAAGGAAAGAAATTTTAAGAGAATGTTGTTTCATAAGATTGAAATGTACTTCAATTATTACATATACTCACGTGCCCTGAACTCTTTTGTGAAGTTCAGCTACTAGCCTTGGATCAAGTTCACAGGCAACTACCTACATTAACAATAAGAGAGAGAGAAAAAAAAAAAAACAGCACTTCATTGTTGAGTATAAATCTTTTACCACCCAAGTAAGAACTTCTATGAGCTATATGATTTAAGCTTTTTCCAATCTTAACATCAACACCCACTCTGCTGTCTTGTACCACTTCAAACGCCATCCTGCTTGCTCTGTCTCCATGCTTTAACTGAAGAGGATGAAAAGCATACACTTTATGTAACCAGTGTTTTCAGACAGCACAAGAGACCTGCTCCCAGAAGCTTTCATCATCTGATACCCAGAATAGAAGGCATAATGTCGCAAGTGAGTCAAAGTGGATGGAGCTGAAATTATTTTATTATAATAAATAATTATATCTCAGCAGAGGTTTCACTGAATTCCATGACTCTTGTCTATAGGGCAGACACTTATGTTACTTTTTCTGTTTGACTCCCAGATCCATTCTTTATCTCTTTTGTACCCTGTAGGTACCCTATACAGGTCTCCTGTTGTTGAACTTGTTCCTAATAACTTTTAACTTCATTATTTTGTTTCATGCTTCATGACAGTTAACTGTACTTTGCAATTTAGTTTTGGGTTAGCTCAGGATTCCTATTTTATTGTTACTCCTTTAACAAGCATGTAACCCATTCCTATCCCCACCAAGGGTAGATTTTGTGTTCTTGATAAATACGTTTTATTTTCAGTTAAAATTTGGAAGAGCTCAATAATTACTATTAAAACAATGACAATTAATTAAAACATATTTGTAAACCAGCTGAACTAATTTGGTAGTAACACGTAACCCCCCCCACACACACACCTTTTTACCTTTTTGGCCTTTTCTAACAGCTTGACGGTCATATTTCCAGTCCCAGGCCCAACTTCTAGCACCACATCAGTAGGTCTTAGCGCAGCCTAAAAGCAAGCACAACTCCTTATGCTTCTGGCCTACCTGAACACATAGCTTATAAATGACTGGTTTTATTCATCAACACACAATTAAAGAAATTTTACTCTAGCTTCATTTTTCTTGTTAACAATAGTACCTCAAAGGCATTAGGTATAAATCTCCATTTCCTAACCTTCCGGGATATATTCAACTTCTGGAGTCAGAAAAAAAAAGGCAAAAATAAGCAGTTCTATGCATGGCTTCCTGCTTTCTACACTGGTGGTAGGTACAGCAACCTGTAACTACGTCTGCTCCTATCAACAAGTTCAAATGGGAAAGAGCATGATGAGCTTGCCTAGGGTCAGCATATGGCAGCAAGATTCCTCAATTCTTAACCACTGTGTAGTAAGAATAGAGCAACCTCACAAACTATGTGTGCATATACATGCAACTAGAATATTCTGTAAGACTGGATTACTAAATTCTTACTACATCTCTAGGATGCCACCCTTGTAAACACAGAAGTAATTTTTACCCTCTATATTTTACCTCTTGGCACTCAACCATTCATAACCACAACATAGTAACAGATACAGAATAATCCTCCAAATATGCAGTACCATTCCATATATTTTACAGAGGAAAACACTGTGTGAGAGCGACACCTTTAAACTCTAGAATAAAGAGTAAATGATATGGTGCTTAGAAAGTGATCAGAATTACAGCCGCTTGGAAGTTCAAGGTAGGCTCTCGTCTACATACCATATTTGAAGCCAGCCTGAGTTTCATGGGATCCAGTCTCAAAACAAGCAAAAATACTCCAAAAAGTGATGAAATCATCTTGAAATTAATGAACAATAACAAAGAAAAGTCCACCTATGAAGTAGATAATTCACAGAAAGCTGGAGGACTTGAAGGTCGGCAGCAGAAACGAACTCGGAACGAAGCATGCAAAAGACGGCATGTGAATGACTCTTGGGCCACTCAACCAACTCATTCAACACATAAACACAGAGCACCTATTTTATGTCAGGCATCCTACCTCATTTTTATTTTCTTAAGAGTCTCCCTGTATAGCACAGAATGGCTTTGAACAAAACATCACCCTGTCTCAGTTTCCCCAAATGTTGGAATGAGGGCACACAACACAATGTCACACCAGGTAAGTACTCCGGAAAAGATGACACACAAACGCTATGCGTTTCCTCGTCTACACCCACCTTATCGATAATGCTGTTGACAATGAGAGGATTTTTCAAAATGTGCTGTCCAATCCCTGTGTTGAACATGAGTCCTGGAATAAAACACGAAGCTGCCTTAATTTTCCAACTTTTCAAGAATCGATCCTAGGCCGTCCCAGAGACATTTCTGCACCAATGATGCCACAAGCGTCCCGCTTTTAGGGCTGGGGTTGGGGTGCAGCTTTAAGTCCATCCATCCCTCCTGCTAGCACAGAAGACCAGGCGCGGGAAAGGGCTGGCGCTGAGCTTGCACCCTCCTCGGAGCGGCCGGGAGCACAGGCCACAGTGAGCCTACCCCGCCGCGGGACAGCCCGCACCGACAGACGCGATTCGCCCCCAGCTTCCACCACGCCGCACCTCCGGCCCGCTTCAGCTCCCGGCGCTGCTCCAGCCGCTCGCGCCGGCGGCCACTCGCCGCGGACTTGGCCTTTGGCATCTTCTCAGGAGTCTCAGGATAAGCGAAAGGAGCTGAGCACCGCGTGTTAGTCGCCGTCAGCACTGACACGACCAAGGCGCCAGAGAGGTCTACTTCCCCTCCCACTGAGATCAGGGCTGGAGCCCAGTGATCGCTGGGAATTGTAGTCTCTGCTGAGTCTCTACAGGAGGACAGGGCTCGAGCCCGATGGCCGCCGGGAATTGGAGTCTCGGCTGCAGCAACGCCTTCCCCAGAAGCCAGGGTTCCCAGAAGCCACCGCGCTGCTGAGCCATGCAGTTCGGATTGACTGGGTACGGGTGGGCCAGTCCCTGCGACCTCTGCCCCTCCCACCCCGCGCCATCCTTCCCCCGACCCCCACCCCCACCCCCTCCAGTTCTCCCTTGTGCCTCCTGTTTCTCAGGAAGTTATGGGATGAGAAGCCTAGGCTTGAGGGATAAGGTAACAGGGCTGTTACACAAAGAAACCCTGTCTCGGGGAAGAAAAAAGACAGAAAAAGAAAAGGAAAGAAACTGTTCCCGATACCGGAACGTCTACAGTATGCCAGTCACTGCCATATGGTAGGAGGGAAAGGATGGACATGACACTATCACTGCTTATTAAAATAGTTTATTTTTTTAAGGGGAGCGGTGCAGTCTGATACACCTGTTGACACCCAAGACTGCCAGTCTGCCTCTCTGGGGTATGGCACAAGCCTGTTCACTATGAGTCCAGGTTTCTCTTTTCTATTGCTGTGAAGAGACACCGTGACCAAGGCAACTCTTACAAGGAAAACATTTAATTGGGGCTGGCTTAAAGAGGTTTAGCCCATGACCATCATGTTGAGAAGCATGGCTGTGTGCAGGTAGACATGGTGTTCAGAAGGAACTGAGGGTTTTACATTTTGCTCAGCACGCAGCAGCAAGAGACTGTGTGCCACACTGAGTACAACTTGAGTTTATGAGACCACAGTGACACACTTCCTTCAAGGTGGTACCTCCTAATAGTGCTACTTTCTATTGGGCAAGCATTCAAACTTGAGTCTTTGGGACCCATACCTATTCAAACCATGACATTGTGGCAACAACACAGCACATTCTGAACTTCATACTCGATGCCAAAGCTAATGATGAGACAATTCTGAAAAAGACCTCTTTCCTTTTTCAGAAACAAGAACGGGAAAAGATTTTCCAAGTACAGAAGATTTCAGGGTCACTGCACACCTGACAGGACCACAGCTATTTAGCAATGTACACACACACACACACACACCACAGAAGATCTGCCAATTTGAGAATTACCCACATGTATTGGTGTTGCTAAACCTTCAGAGTTAGGACAGTGACGAACAAGACAAGAAGCTGACAGCTTTTTAAACAAAATAGAAGAAAAAAAATAAAAGACATGAAGCAGGACTGTGTTTGGCAGGTGAAGAATTTACCACCTGTGGCTCAAGGTGAGGTCATCAACAGATACTGGCCGACTGCTGATAAGTGTCCAGTTGCGGAAGATGTGGATGAAGTGGTGTATGGTGAAGATCTGACTTACCAAAATGTTGAAATTCTGCACCTTAAGCAGCTTGGAAATATCTCACTCTTAGTAAGGATGTTGATTTGTCAAAAGTTGACTTAGCGTATACCCAGACCATCACGGACAGTGGCAAAGAAGACAATACTGGCAAAGATGTACTGATTCTGGGAGGTGGAGATGGGGGCATATATGGGAAACAATTAAACTGAGACCAAAGGTGGTCACTGTGGTGGAGACTGATGGGCTGGTGATTGACAGATGTAAGAAATATGTGGGAAGAACATGTGGGGTCATCTGAGGTCATCTTAAAGGAGACTGTTATCAGGTTCTCAGAGTAATGTATTCCATTACTGAGTAGATGTGCCGAAGAAGGGAGAGAGTTCAATTATGTGCTTAATGATTTGACAGCTGTCCTAATCTCTACATCTGCACATGAGAATTTCTGACTGACTGTCGACATTTCAATGAAGTGCTGAAATATGGCGGGAAATACTTCACACATGGGGAACTGTGCCAGTCTGACAATGCTTGTCTCCATGAAGGACAACTTTCTTTCCTTTTTCAAATTTATTCTATGTGTCATTTACATCATGCATATGTAGTTGGAGGCTTTTCATTCATTCCTGGCTGCCCAGACCTGAAATAATCACACAGAAACTATATTATTTGCAATACTGTTTGGCCAATAGCTTAAGTGTATTGTTAGCTAGCTCTTATATCTTAAGTTAACCCATTTCTATTATTTTATATTTTACTATGAGGCTCATGGTTTACCGGCAAGGTTCTGTCTCTGGCTATGTGGCTTCTCACTGACTCCGCCTACTCTCTCTTTATCTATATCTCTTCCAGCCTGGCTGTATTCTGTTAATCCATTGACTGAATGCAGCTTCTTTATTAACCTATAAAAGCAACACATATGCGGAAAGATTTCCCATATCCTTTTCCCTTTTTTGTTTAAATAAAAAGGTTTTAACTTTAACATTGCAAGATTACATACAACAAAACAGTTATCAAGGATAAATTATAGTTACAATACTTATATCTACTTCATCTTTTATCATAACTAAGGAAAACTATAACTATCTATTCTTCAACACCAGAAGGATATAATATTACCTAAATTAACAGGAAGTGCATTATAACTTCCAAACTCTAGAATTGACAGAGACATTTCACTGCCTGGACAATCACCCGAAGTTCTTTTGTAACATTGGGGCATCCATCTTCAGTCTACGAGCCCATAATATCTGGCAGACTTTTCCATGAACCAGGAAATTTGAAATATAGTTCTGTCTATATTGGTAGTTTGTCAGTCACTTTTTTTCTGTGCCCTGCAGAATGTCTGGCAGATTCTTTCATGAAGCAAGAACCCCAAAGGAGCATTTCACCTTTAGGCAAGTTCAGCAGTCATTTTTCTGTGGGTTCCGCATGTCCAGTTCATACAGTACAACATCAAGCAGTCTAAGCAAGAACAGTTTGGTTGCCCAAAAGGCCAAACAATTCCATAAGGAGTCTCTTCAATGCCCATTTTCCTTTTGAAATTGGCAAAGAACAGATGCATCTCATTGTCATGAAGAGTTTTAAGTTCTTAAAACTTTTAAAATGCCATATTTCATAGGTCTTTGAAAGGTTTGAAGATTATCTAACTGAAATATATCTCTATATATCTAGAAAACCTAACATGACTACAAGCTTGACTACTATAGATGACTATTATTAACCTATATTTCTTAATTATACATTGCATTTTTAAATGAGCTGCGCAAACACAATGTCTTAAATAAAAGGAGAAACACATATATACAGTATAACAAAGCTACCTTAAATTTGTATCAATAGATCAAGATTCAGACCAATGCAAAGTATTCATCTCTATAGCATATCACCCTTTAAAGGTAAATAAATATTTATAAGCAATCATTTAGGGAATTTGGGCATAGTTCTCTCCAAACTGCTTCCTGGTGTTTTTTTGGACAATTTTAGGGTTTTCTGGAGACCTTTCAGGTGGTCTTGGTCCATCAAACTACATTAGTCTGGAAGGAATCCACAGGTTCTCATCCTCTGTCGAAACAAAATCAGAAACTCTTTTCTAAAACAACATATCCTTAGGCCCAAATTTTGAAGTCAAGATACCTTTAAAATATATATGTTGGTGTAGCTTAGCAACCAGTACAATGAAATTTCTCTCTGTACTTAATCCAGACTCTCTGTGTATATTCCATCTTTTTGTTCACTCCTTTAATCTGTGACTTTCTGTTCTCTGTCTCTTTAAAGATTTTGCTTTTTTTAAAAAATGATTTACTTCCTTTTATAACTCTCTATACTCTTCTTCTTCTCTCTCCCAAGCCTACGTACATTTATCCAACACTTTGACCCATTTAGAGGTCTTTTTTAAAAAATCTGAATCTGTCTTTATTGTGTATCTTTAATTATTTTCTGACCAGAAACACCTTTTTTTTTAATTTTTTAATTTTTTTTATAAGCGGGCATAGCTAGGACCAACTCCACAGTCCTGCCTGTTGGCTCTGCCCAGTCCAATATGGCAGAAGTCTGTTCACTGCCTCTGAGACTTCTGGGTGGGTGCCACGCTCAGCAGCTCAACTCTAGTAATGAGTTGGCCCATGTTGTCACCAAATAACTTGCAGCATGCTGCCCACAAACCCAATTCAAGTGTTCAGCCTCCTGAAATAGCCAGAGTTTGTGCTGGCAGCACAGACCAGTTAGCTGCATTTTGAAACTTCAAGGAAGGGGGCTGGAGAGATGGCTCAGTGGTTAAGAGCACTGACTGCTCTTTCAGATGTCCTGAGTTTAATTCCCAGCAACCACATGGTGGCTCACAACCATCTGTAGTGAGATCTGGTGTCCTTTTCTGGCCAACACGCAGGATATGGCAGAAATAAATAAATAAATAAATAATCTTTTTTAAAAAAGAAAAGATAACAGTGAAGAAGGGTGACTTGGATTGATTAAAAAAAAGAAAAGAAACAGCGAGGAAGAACTCTCTTAAAGGAGCTGAAGTGCCCCTGTTCACTTCCAGCAAAAAAAGCCCATGTAAAAAAATGCAGCTAAACTGTGTGTGTGTGTGCGCGTGTGTGTGTGTGTGTGAGTGTGTGTGTGTGTGTGTCTAGAATTTCTTTTCAAGTTCTCTCAGTTTTTATGTATACTTAGCTGGCACATGTTGGTGCACCAATCTGTATATGTATGCTGTGAATATGTCTTATTGCCATTGTTTAATAAAGAAGCTGCTTTCAGCCAATGGCTTAACAGAGTAAAGCCAGGCTGAAAGAGATATAGAGAGAGAGTAGGCAGAGTCAAGAGAAGCCGTGTAGCTGCTACTGAGACTGACACCTCTGCTGGAGCTCGTGGAAACTTCGCTCATGGGCCATGACCTCATGGTGTTGCACAGATTAATGGAAATGTATTAGGATATAAGAGCCACCTAACAATACGCTTAAGCTACTGGCCAAACAGTATTACAAATAATATAGCTTCTGAGTGATTATTTTGGGTCTGAGCTGCTGGGAACAAACAAACAGCCTCCACTCAACATGCATTTTTTTTTCAAGGCAGGGTTTCTCTGTGTAGCTTTTGAACTTGTCCTAGAACA